GGGGGACAGGCACGGCAATCAGAGGGCCCCTGGGCCACGGGGGACGGCAATCAGAGGGCCCCTGGGCTATGGGGGACGGCAGTCAGAGGGCCCCTGGGCTGGCCTTGCTGTAGTGCCTCTCGTGAATACTCCTAAGGGAGCCCTAATATTTACCAACTAGGGGTTCAAGGAAGTAGGGGGGAATGCTTTCAGAGGGCCCTATGATTATGAAAGCCCCTGCTAAGGGTTGTGACTTCTGGCTATGTGGGGGCCCTAGGGAGAGCCCTAATGGGAGAGCATACTGTTAAGAGAGCCCTCTGATTACAAATGTTCTTAAAGGGTCTCTGATTTACCAAGGGTTTTAAAAGAAAGTCCTTTCAGTGAGCCCTAAGGCCCAGGATATGCTAGCTGTGTGACTTAATTTACGTGTGCAACCGCACATACTTGCAGCAGAACGATGAGAGCACTACGCACGATACTGGTAGTGTTGCCAAAAACAAATCACCAAAAGTCGCTATTGGTTCTCTGAAAAGTCACTAGATTACGTCATGACGTTACTATGATGTCATAACATCAGACACGACTCACTGAGCTCAAGAAAATGTGTCTTCATGGCTATGTTGACAATCCCAAAGGGTACAGTTTCGAGATCGGGGCTAATGTGCAGTGTTGCTTAACCATGAAATAGGCTTCTGGTGGCGGTGCAGAGCTGAAGTTACATGGAAAAACAATGATTTTGACACTTGAGAGATGTGTTTTTTTAAAGTCGCCAGATTCACCTAGAAAGCTGCTAAGTCGCTAGATGAGGTTTTAGTCGCCAGAGACGGCTAAAAGTCGCTAAATCTAGCGACAAAGTCGCTAAATTGGCACCATTGGATACAAGCGGTTTCATGTAGGGGGCAGATAGCCAACCGGGCTCTCATTAATATTTTCCACCATTGTTTGACTCTACCACAAGCTAAACATGGAAGTTCGGAAGATCGCCCCTTGCGGTTGTGTCAATATTGCAACATGCGCACATGTCTGCATACCTTGTGTTCAGGTGTGCTATTACGCATAACATGGACATAAAATACGCATGGCAACGCATTCAGGCATGAAATGTGCACACGGTAAGCATATCCTGGGCCTAACACTGGCCCCAGTAGACAGCTAGTAGAAGCTGGACCTATTTTCTATGAGAAGTGATTTCGCTCTCACACAGTATTGTGTGTACACAATATGATATGGTCCTTGGAGTGCATCAAAACTGTCATTGCGACACGTCCAAAAGTTCAAAAATCTCCAACTCCATGCAAATTTATCGTGCGTCGCGACCATACCGTGAAGTGAGTGTCCAATAGCCGAGCTAGACTCAGGGGTGGGCTGTACAGTGGTCCAGTCACAATACACAGCAGATTCACGTGTCATTATAACCTATAGTTACTTCGAAGAGAGTAGTAGACTGGTAGATATTCACCTTCAGAACACTGAGTTTTGCCCCGCTTCACTTTGCAGATTTCGCTTCCTTATGTCCCCACCGTAAAGGGGTGTACTTTACACACCAATGCCAACAAAGTGAAGTCCAAGTGAAAATCCAATATCAATACAACACTCCCACATTACACTTGGCATTGCTTTTATCGAAACTCCTCACATGGCAGAAATTTTGATAGTTTAAGTGAAAATCCAATATTGTTAAATCTGTTTATCGAAACTCCTAACAACATTCTTACATTAAAACCTTTCCTAGACTATCAGATTTAGCATCCAACACCCTATTAAAAAGCTCACTGACATTTACATTGTATTGTATTGTATTGTATTGTATTGTAATAATAGTGTACCTTAACTAGACTTGAAGCCATTGTAAGGGCTACTGTATTTTCAGTGAACAAATCTGGAAGTCTAAGTGGAACTAGAAAAATTGCATTTCCTTGCAGAAAATGCGTGGAAATGCTGAGTGCTGAATGCTGAAAAAGCAATGCTAAGCTGCTAATAAAACATGGAGAAAGATATTAAAATAACCACTGAAATGTACAACATAAATACATGTGTCTTGTGACAAAAAGAGTATGAAACACAGTGTAAGTCCAAAATCAAATCCTAAATTTGCGAATCTTTAGATTTTTGCTGGCACTGTCACAGATTTAACTCTGAACTGTCTCAGATTATAATCTGCTGGGAGGTCTCTGTCATGTTTCAAATGTTACACTCTGCATATTAAATGCAAAAGAGGTAAAAGATTGTTTTAGAGACACATTGGTAAACTACTGTTTAATATCACATCCCTATAAATTTGAGTTTGCATTTTACTGTCATCATAAGTTAAACGTGTTTCTTACCTCCTGTTGAAGCCCGAGCACGCAATTCTCGGAGCTTCTCCTTTTACAGGAATGGGTTGACTCTTCTGTGCAGATTTAAAGAAGAAATAAGAAAGCATTGGTTAGTATAAAAGAAACTGTCAAATAAGTTTCAGACTGACGGCTTTAAATAGCCCAGAAGACATAAAAAATCTCTTGTAGAGATTTCTCACAATAACATGAGCTTTTCTGCTCTTAAGCACGAAGAGTCTTTGACATGGTGGGCAGGACTTTCATGTGATGTCAATGCATCACTTTTAAGATAACCATCCGAACGTCTCGACTTTTAACTCGCTGTTGTGGCCACATTTTTTGGAGTACAGACATGAAAAACAGATCATTGTGTTCATGAAGGGCGGAGGATTCGTATGATTTTCTTATTTTCATTCTGGGATATAAGGAAATCATGCTATGTGAAGAAGTCCAGAGGCAGCTTCTCATTCAAACAGTAGGTCAGTTAATGCCTTTGATCTCACAGCTGTTTAGGATGCAATCATTAACGACACACACACACACACACACACAGTCTGACAATGTGTGTGCGTGTGTGTCTGTGTCTAAAAGACCTGCATGTACACACAGTTAATATGTGTCTGCATCACCACCTATCTCCACCCACAAACTTTGAGCTACAGAAACCATTCTGGGCTTCAAAAATTCAGCTCATTGAGGACATTATGGGGTGTACTCAGGATTTTTTTTATTAAACTTTTCCCCACTTTAAAATTATTCTCATTATTCATGCATTATTAAATTCGTCAGACAAATCTAAACTCATTCAAACTGACTCAAACCTTTCTGATACTTCAAACCTGTTTAACACTTTAGGACTTCTAATTATTTAAAATTTTTCCCACTTCAAAATCATTCCCATTATTTATGTATGTTTTAATTCTTCAAACAATATCCCAGTTCTACCACTACAATTACTACTTATATCACTTTAACTTGTATCTTCACTTCTACCTCCACTGCTCTTGCTTCTCTTAATATTTTTTTTACTTCTACTCTTACTTCTACCACGAGCTCTACTGCTTTGACTTCTACTTCTTCTATTCTTAAACTACTTCTACTGCTTACATGACTACTAATATCACTAGTACAACTACCTACCTATTATCATACTTCTTCTAGTACTTCAACTTAAACTTATGCCGCTTCTTACTTTTCTGTGTTTTAAGGTAATTTTCTTCCTTATACAATTTTTTTGCAATTTCAGACAGTTTTTCTAGCCTTATTTAGCATGAATGCAATTTTAATTTATGAAGCACATTCATACTATTTGTACTTCAGCCATTTTCACTTTCATCTAACTTCTACTTTTCTTTCTCCAGGTCTTTAACCAAGTTTACATTTAAACCTTCCTCCATTTTTTTTTTTTAGCAGTTTAGCATTGCTTTTTCAGCTTCCAGCACTCAGCATTTCCACGCATTTTCTGCAAGGAAATGCAATTTTTTCTAGTTTTGATAATGCCTGTCACATTAAAGTCATAAACACTGTAAATATCTATGCACACATTTAATCCTTGTCGATGCATCGCTTAACCATCACGAAAGTCTCGACAGTAACACAAGTTTGTATGCTAATATTGTCATGAAATCTTACAGTCTCCATGTCGTAGATGTTGTCCTCTCTGTTCAGGTGTTGGTTGGAGGTGTTTGTCGGAGTCCTTAGTCGTCTGGTGAGGTTTTATTTACGATGAAGCCGTCAAAAGTTGTAAGTTCATGAGCCGCTTAAGTTTTCCGTGCTGTTCTCTTCAGATTTGATCTTCAGAAATGACCGCTCTCTTTTGCTTGTAATGATTTAAAGTTTTGACATCGTTACAGGTTACCATGGAGATTTAAAATGCTGTTTACTTTAGAAAAACCCTTACACTGGTAGGTTATATCTAAAAGTTTAATATTATCTTTAATTTACTTTAATCTCAATAGAATATAAATATCTCTTGAAGTAAAGTGGAGGTTATTTTTCGTCAACTAGTTTAAGAGTTTAAAAGCATTTTAATTTAAAAACCTTCCTCATTTCGGTACAAAACGACAACGTTTTGAAAACTATAGCTAAGTAGGCCTTTGTCTCATAGGTAACCCAACAAAAACTGGAAACTTTGTGTTTCATTATAAATTCCACTGAAGCCTTTACTTCAATTAAATTCAGTCGATTTTCTTTAGAAGGCTACTAAAAATAGTCTATATATACTCCTATCATATCAATATTTTAGAGCAGTAACTACATCTGTAAAGCTTTGTCCCCCTGTTTAAAAAAAAACCCCAAAGTTGATAATTGTCATTGATCATTGTTTAATTCATGTTTTGAAAATAGTAGATATGGCGACCGAAACATTTGAGTCTGGAATAGCACATAGCCATAGTAAACGCCATTACATTCGGGTACACTCGTGTGGCTAACACCAGAGCTAATCCACTGCTCTGCTTTGATGTTGACTAAAACCACAGGAAATTACACAATTTTAACCCGGAAACGCCATAAAATCTCAACTTTTTACCTGATTACTGTAAAATACCAAATAACAGCCGGGTTCCAATTAGCCGCTGGGTCCCAATTAACCGCAGGGTGCAGCAATGCATTTTGACAAATAACCGCCTGTTCCAAATAAACGCCTTGCCTAATTTACCGGTAGAGGGCGTAAGTCACATGTCACATTGCCACTGATCAATCGCCATGGCTCCAGTGCAGCGGAAAAATAAAAAATACGATATGAAATTCAAACTGTCTGTCGTCAAATATGCAGAAGAAAACTCGGGAGAAGCAGCAGCGAGACACTTCTCTGTTGACCCCAAGAGAGTGAGAGAGTGGCTAAAAAATAAAACTGAACTTCAGCGTCTTTCCGAGGAGGATAGCAAAAGGGCTAGGCTGCGCGGTGGAGGGAGAAAGAAGGCTAGCGAGGAGCTGGAGTTAAAAATGCGGGAGTGGGTCATCGGTAAGCGTTTGCGCCACGAGCGAGTGAGCCGAAAAATGATCAGGGCGAAGGCTAAAGAAATGTTCGCCACCGTGAGTGACAGCAGTGATGAGAGGTTTTCTGCTAGTGCTGGGTGGCTAAACCGTTTCCTTCGCCGCAACAACTTTACTTGCAGAAGACGTACAACTATTGCCCAGAAAGACGCCAAGGAATTCACCGAGAAGCTGGTGAAGTTTGTACATTTTTCATCGCGGATGATTGAAAGGATGAAGATACCGCAAAGAGACATCATAGTGATGGATGAAACTGCGGTATGGTTTGATATGGTCGGGTCAACTACTGTGGAGACGCGAGGGACGCGCAGTGTTCCACTGAAAACTACAGGCCACGAGAAGAGCCACTTGACCGTTGTGCTGGCGGCGAAAGCGGACGGGACGAAGCTGAAGCCTTATGTGGTTTTTAAAGGAGGTATCAGGGAAGTCAAGGCAATGCAAAACATCAGTGGAGTGGTGATAGCCTCCTCTAAAAACGGCTGGATGAATGACGACCTGACCGCAGACTGGCTGCAAAAAGTAGTGGGGAAATTCAACTTTGGCCCTCGTCTCCTTGTGTGGGATTCCTACCGATGCCACATCAGCCAGGCCACCAAAAGGGAGCTCAAGAAGGGCTACAAGATAACTACAGCTGTGATACCGGGAGGATGCACAAAATATATCCAGGCACCTGATGTTGTATGGAATCAGCCATTCAAAGCCAGTCTGCGTGAATCATATGACAGCTGGATGGCCAGCGATGTGGATAAGACCTACACCGCTGGAGGAAACCTGAGAGCCCCAGCTCGTCGCTTACTGGCCGCCTGGGTGCTTAAGGCTTGGGAGGAGTTGGATACAGAGATGGTGAAAAATTCCTTCAAGGTATGTGTGTGTGTCTGATTGATTGAGATCTTATTATTATTAGTCTGTGGAGGCGTAATATATTAATTTGTGGAATATTGTGCTGAAAGGTGTGTGGCCTGACAGTGGCAGCTGATGGCGATGAGGACCACCTGATTCACTGTTTCAAAGATGGAGAGCCATGTGCAGCAGGGAGAGAGATGCTGGCTCAGGCCAGACAGGGAGAGGAAGAGGAAGAAAAAGAGGCCGAGCAGCAGGAGGAAGATGAGGAGGAAGAGTTCAACAATGAACTGGTAGTTGAGGATGATGATGAGGAGGAGGAAGAGGAGGGGGAGGAAAGTGATGAGGGTGATTAAGAGGATGGACATGGACTTGGTCTGACAGCAGGCTGTTCTGCCAGTGGCCTTGTTGATTTACCCCACTCAGGTTGCTGTCATTGTTTTATTTTATTTGATGTGTTACACATGTTTTGTTTATTTGACATGTTGCTGACATATATATCCAGGATATGGCCATTATTGTTCAGAGTTTGTCCTTGCATTATCAGCCTTGTGTACCAGTAGGCTATATGTTTTGTGTTCTTTTAGTTCCTTACTGGCATTTATGGGTGATTCATTCAGCAATCCTTTGATGGCTTGAGGTTTAATTTAATTGGAAAAAGTATAACAACAGTACAGTAATCCTACCTGAAAATATAAAGGTATTCACACTGATGTAAATTTAATTTACCATATTTTCCCATTTTTGCTAAGCAAGATTTTTGTGAGAAAGGATTTAAACGCCTGTCCCATATAGACGCCTAGTCCCAAATAAACACCTGGTCTGTTCATTGATTGAAACAAATAAACGCCCCGGCTATTATTTGGTATTTTACGGTAATGCAGTCAAAGTTATTTTTAACATGTTTTTTTTTAACCTACCTTGAGGTATATTTGAGATTAATGTTTGACAGAAATGTAGACTTCTTCAACACAGAGGCGTACTGCATTTATTTGAGGATAAAACTGCTCTTACACTCTGGCGCATAAATGTCTTACCTGGCTAGATGTCACAATAAGTTCCCTGGTGAGGTCCACGCGGTCGTGACATTTCACAAGCTCATAGGACTCAGTGAAGTGGAACCTCTTAATTTGGAGCACCAAGAAACTGTGGAGAGCAGCAGAGAGGGAATGACCACAGGATTATTAAACTGAGGGAATTTCTGAGCATGAAAATACTGAGGATAAATTAACAGAAAATAATCTGTGCATGTGTCTGCAACAGGGGGAAACAGTGAGTCTGGGATGGATGTAACGTCACCCACTTTGGCAGGGTTGTGAAGGTGGAGCACTGTGCTGATGTTGTGCCTCCACACTCGCAGTTGAACTCCAAGTCTGTCTCCTGCAGAGAAAACATGCTGTCAGATACTGTGTACATTAAACATGGAAAATCAACAACCAAAAATAACCGCAGAGTGAAACATTTGAGTGGCTTCATATCAGACAATGTGGATGTTGATTAAATAAGTCCAGCGTCTATACCTTCTCGTATTCCTGCAGCATCTGCTGTACCGAACCCCCAGGAATCAGGTCCAGAGAGAGATTCAGGAATTCCTCCTCTCTCACTGAGGCAGAGCCACATCTGCACGTTAAAAGGACAATACATATGATTATATACTGTAGCTATACATGTTGTGAAAAGAAAATGTAAAGATAAAAGAAAAGATTACTGTAGATTTGACCTGACTTGATAAAAATGAGCAAAAAATTAAACACATTAGTCAAACTGGAGGTAAATTTGTCCTGCAACCATCTGTATGTTTTTACCTCTTGCATTTTCTGCAATTCTGCATCCTGAACACCTGGTTCCTTTCCACGGGACATCTGTAGGACCTCCCAAGGATAGAGGCAACTTGCCTCAGTAGCGCAGCCAGGTCCCTCATCTGACCCAGAACTGCAGTCAGAAACTCATGGGCATCCTGAGCAAACAGAGACACAGGTTTGATTGGATAAGCAGACAAGGAGCAGTTAGTGAAACTTTAAAGAAAACGAGCTGACTTACTTTCTGATCGTGGTCCATAAACTCTGGGGCCTGGATAGAGAGAAGCCACTTAAATTTACCCAGAGCCCTAAGTTTTAGGTGAGTGTCACCCACGTCACGGAGACGAACAATGTCCATGAAATAACTGCAGAGGGCAGAGGAACAGAGAGGAGTTTGTTTTAGTTTGATTTAAAGATTTGCGGATAAACTGAAGCCTCATGTCTCAGCAACAAACAGTTCCTGACATCCTGAAATTAACTTATCCTTGGCAAAAAATCTGTCATGAAATAGTTTAACATGGATATTATCTCTTCTTTTAATGGGTCGAATCTTGTAAGCAGATTTACTGTTCATTTATATTAAATGTTGATTCATTTTTAGACTTAAAAAAAATCTATTTTTACAGTACAGGGCAAAAAATAAGTTCAAAGCCAAAAACTGACATAAAATTATACATAAATATTGTTTTCAACTTATAATAGATCACATTTATTTCACCAGCTTCAACTCTGTTTATAAATATATAAATATCAAATGATAAATAATTTCCAGAATTGTAACCCTATACCAGTCTACATACACAATGCATTGAAAAAAATATATTGTTATCCAACATTTTACACTACGAGCTAACATTAAAAAAAACAATCAAACTCAGATTGGGACATTTTTGTGATCACCAGTTAAAATGATTTGGGGTATGTTAATTTTTTTTAATATGTCAGATTTGAAAACCCATTTAATTACAATACTTCATTTGAATTATCTGACATTGACATATTTCATAAGTTTTTATTATTTATTATTTTTTATCTTTTCCTCAGTTTCAGTCCTGTATATTAATACCTATTATTAATAATTAATCATTAAATGCTAGTTCATTAACACAATAAACCAGATTTTTCATTTTAAAAAAAGACAAAAGCTTAATATTTCTCATATCCTGAGGACCAAAAATAGCTTTGGGTCAATTTTGAATAGCAATATTAATTTTGATGCATTATTCCTTTTCTTTCTTGTATTTCAGTTTTTAGTTTACGTCAAAAGTTTGACTCGTAGCTTCAACAACACGTTCTGTTGTTGAAGCTGTTTGATAGCATGTAAAGATCACAGTTGAATTTTAATCCAAGCCACGATCTTTTCTGAACCAAACCAGGAAACGTTGGTGTACAAAACTAACAAATCAGAGACCATTTCTCAACGTAAACCTTGTACTTGGCATGTTTCGTGTGAAATTATTCAAGGATAGTTCAGGTGTTTGAAGGCGATAATAATGTGACCCATCTGCAGTGCATAGCTTTGCTTTAACGTAGGAACTCCCGCAGACAGCTATGCTGGCTGTTATCTGCTGTGTGTACCACTCTTACTCATGCAGTCTGGCATAAAACAACCTAACCCTCTACTTTAGTCATCTTTTACACTTATTTTAAACAGTTAACTGTGTGTGTGTGTGTGTGTGTGTGTGTGTGTGTGTGTGTGTGTGTGTGTGTGTGTGTGTGTGTGTGTGTGTGTGTGTGTGTGTGTTTACAGATACTACACCTCATCAGCTGGGCCTTTGGGATCAGACTCCAGACCTCCTCCTGGCTCCTGATGTCCCTCACAAACCGTGTGAGCGTGAGCAAGCTCGGGAGGCTGGAGTTCATGTAGCAGATCTGGGCTGGGTTTGGAAATCTGACACACAAACACAACAAATGGAATCATATCTTAATATCACAGCTCCAGACACAAACTGAGGATTGTTTTTATCAAAATGTAGCTGCATGGATTTAAGTGATGAATCCAGAAAATCACGTGTACTCACCCAAGGTTGACCTGCTGACAGGCGACTCTCGGTTCGCTCTGTGGCACTCTTCTCTGAGAAACCTCGTCAGTGCTGCAGTGAGACAAAAACAAACTGTAAATAACAATGAACAGCAAAGAGCTACAAGTGTGTGGGGCTAGTAATCTACGTGTACTGAATCATATTTTACAGTTGACCTCATCCATGGAAAAGAAGGTTATTTTTGCAAAAATCAGTATTGAGATTGAAGTGGAATTGAATTTAAGGAGACGAGATTTGACCAACACAACACTCAGAGTTTTTAATTCACATTACCAGCACTGCCAATAATCCTTATTGACTTTCAATGCCAATCAAAACATGTCCCAAGTAAGAACATAAAGTTAAAAAGGGGATGAAAGCGATAACCTCAAGCTAACTCAAACCATAACTTTCTTTATTGAGATATCAACCTCCACATTAAATCTGGTACAGAAAGTGTGTATTAAACTGCTCTTTTCATTTAAATTTAAAGTAAAAAAATCAAGTTGGCTATTCTACAGCATTACAGCGCTTCTTCATATATAAATAAATGATTCATAGACTGAGGAACGGACTGTGAGTGTGTTTCAAGGAGAAAAAAATAATGTGTCAGGACATATTTAGCAGATATACTGATTTTCATGTACAAGTGACTTCATGTTAAAGCTACTGTGGGGAATTTTCAGCCGATTATAACTGACTGATATTGATAGGGATGCCTCTGTGTGGCCTTAAAAAGCAAATCAGACCACCTTTGAAGGGTTTGCATATCTCTACAAAGTTATTTGTGGGGTTAGAAACTGTTGTCAGGGGTATAGGTGTCAGATGATTTCGCTAAATTGAAGCTTTTTAAAAAGGCTTTTTCAAAAATATCTCAGGTGAAGATGACCAATGACTTTTAAAATTGAGCAGGGAGATTTTTTGTTTGAAAACAAGACTTAACACAATTTGAAAGAGAGGTTATGAAAGAAGCATAAGAAGCAACACAAACCAAAAATTCCTCACGGGAGCTTTAAGAAAGAATTGATAACACCTGATTTGTGTCACGTGATGATTTAACTCATCAGGTGACACCAAAATTGATCCATCCTGTGAACAAAATGAGTTTGTTACCTTCTCTGGAGTTCCTGAGGAGGCTTTTGCTGATCTTTATGATCAGAGAGAGGAGACACACGCTTTTCTCTCTAATGGAGTAAAAATAATTTTGATTTGTCAGTAACAGAATCAACTGAAAGATAAACCAAAACTAATGCTTATAACAACATTGAAGTCCAGACTGGTATTCCTATGCTTTACTTACACTACAGCACTTAAAAAACCAAGAACAACTCCATTTCTTCTCCTTTGGTTGCTTGTTTTTCTCCCCAGGTGGGGGTGCTGTGGAGCCAGCCAGACCATTGGAGGTGATATCTCTGCAGACACAAGCACACACCCGTTACCGTGTGGTGACATTTGTTTTAACAACCTGTAGTGATGTTTTTAAGGAGTCTGCAGTGACTAGTCAACATTTATCAGAAGCTTTTGTGACTGCACAAATAAACAGCTGATTGTTGGAGCAGTTTACTCACCTCCGCTGATGGCTGATTAAATACACGATAAAATACAATAAACATGCACTGGATGGTCTTTGAGGAAGTATCAGAGTCAAACTGAAAAAGAGCCTTTATGTATCAAAAATAATACAGCACACTCACAGTGGTTTAAAATACCTGAAGGTTATTCCCTGTTTTTGTGTTGTTGTTATTGATAAATGAACCCCCTCTTTGTTCACACTTATTCATTAAAAACCTAAGTGCTGAATCTCTTTAAGTTGACACAGCGTTTTTGAAACAAAGCTTTTTTAATGCATATTATCCGGGAAAGGCCTCATACAAAACATGTTTTTCCTTCAATTTCAAACACAGTAAATTAAAATGGTCTTTGTTTCCCTTACTGGGAATTTCCCCTTGTGGGACTAATAAAGGAGTATCTTATCTATCATACCTGACTTTACTAGTTTTTGACTAGAGACTCCCAGTAAGAGCAAACGATGATAAAACTTCTTTATTTCATTTAGTGTTTTTACACATTTCCTTTGTCTGACTGATTAATTGATCAGTAAATGTCTTATGTGAAGCCTTTGAATTGTCTTATTCAGTTAAAATAACCACTGAAATGTACAACATAAATACGTGTGTCTTGTGACAAAAAGAGTATGAAACACAGTGTAAGTCCAAAATCAAATCCTAAATTTGCGAATCTTTAGATTTTTGCTGGCACTGTCACAGATTTAACTCTGAACTGTCCCAGATTATAGTCTGCTGGGAGGTCTCTGTCATGTTTCAAATGTTACACTCTGCATATGAAATGCAAAAGAGGTAAAAGATTGTGTTAGAGACACATCGGTAAACTACTGTTTAATATCACACCCCTATAAATTTGAGTTTGCATTTTACTGTCATCATAAGTTAAACGTGTTTCTTACCTCCTGTTGAAGCCCGAGCACGCAATTCTCTGAGCTTCTCCACTTCCAGGAGTGGGTTGACTCTTCTGTGAAGATTTAAAGAAGAAATAAGAAAGCATTGGTTAGTATAAAAGAAACTGTCAAATAAGTTTCAGACTGACGGCTTTAAATAGCCCAGAAGACATAAAAAAATCTCTTGTAGAGATTTCTCACAATAACATGAGCTTTTCTGCTCTTAAGCACGAAGAGTCTTTGACATTAGTCCAGTTGGAAGGAGGGGGTTCAGTGCACCCCCCGGAGATATATTTCTAAGCAGTGTTTTTCTATAGGAAAAAATGTGTTGAAAATGATGAGCTATGATAAAAAGTTCTCAGAATGTCCCATCTGCCCCAAAACCCCCCAAAACCCACTTTTTGGTACATGGCTCCAGCGAAATTGTGTTAAGGCAAATATTAATTCACTAAAATTACATAATTGGACATGAAAGTCTAAAATTTGGCATGGGGTATCCTGAGACATAGGGTTAAGTAGCCCAATAGGATTTTAGGACCTGCTACAACTGTATTCATAATTATGACCAACATCATCCCCAGAAACACAAAAAAATATACTGTCCGCTTGACAAATAATAACAAAGATGATTGATTTCCAGCACTTTATGGTGAATATCACTGCCTCATTTGTATATATAAACTTCCCATGTCCCTAAGCTTCAATTTGAGCCCAAGATGACCTTTCTGGCTTGAAAATTACTCTTTCTATAGCCAAAGTTCTGCACTATACCTCAAATCGGAGAAAATAGGAGATTCTGCCAGTAGCTGTCTATTACAGGTATTATGCACCCCCAGATATATATATATATATATATATATATATATATATTTCTAATCAGTATTATTTCCTTATTGGGAAAAATGTGCTGAAAATGATGAGCTATGTTTAATAGTTGTCAACATGACCAATCAATTATTTATATGCGAATTAGTGCCGCCATTTTGGAAACACTGATTTTGCCTATATCTCAGCCAATGTTGCATTCAAATGAACAAATAAGGTATCTGGACCTGTTTTGAGGGCCAAGGTTAAATGACCATATGTTCCAGTGACATGCTTCCATGTAAAGCAGTGCCATAAGAAACTGAATGTACTTTCAATGTATGTTTTATTAATTTGACTCAGGCCAGGTGTGACTGGTAAACATTATCCATGACCCAGGTCAAACTTATTGAGCATAGAGATAACTATGACTGCACAGCAGTTGTGCATTGAGCATATCAATACAGACAGTATAAACTCTGCCACCACCACATCTTGGCTTCTACATCATCCTCCCAACAAACAAGGTAAGAAGTATAAATCAGCCACTGTATACATGTGGAATAAATTGACTGACGTTGACTACACAATGTACACATTATGTAATATTTACTTCTTGAATATAGTTATCACATATAGTTTAAATATTTTTCCTTCTTATTTTATCTTATCTTTAGTCTGCTAAAACAAGTAGTAGCTTCAAACATGACTGTAAAATAAGATGGTTGCACCCATAACATCAGCTATTGTTTTTTCTTATTCACTTCTCTTAACAGTGGTGGTTATAGACATCAAGCCAACATGCCTAAGGCTAAGGGAAAAAAAGAGTTCAAATCCCGAGGCACACAAAAGTACATCACTTGTATGCATACTTCATGTGTCATCCCTGTCATGTGTCATAAGATTCTGTTCGGAATCCTGTTATTCGGTAACTGGCTTTTCTGTAATAGATGGGATGGTGGTTCCAGCTAGTGAGAAGCGGAATCTGTCAACTACTTTCCCTCTCTTAAGCACAAAGGACCTTGATTTTGCTGGCTTGAAACTCAATATTGCCCAAGTGATGAGCTTCTCTAGGCCTTGGAGAATCCACCTGCTTCCTGGTACAGATGTGGTGGTGACAGTCAGGTCATCCATGAAGGCTCTTATTGGGGGCTGGCATACTCCTGATGTTGTCAAAGGGTCCCTGCACTCTACCTCCACTGACTTGACCATCATGTTCATGGCGAGGGCGAAAAGGATGACTGAGATGGTGCAGCCGGTTATAATGCCTTTCTTAAGCCGGTGCCAATCTGCTGTACCTGATCCAGTGGTGAATCTTAGCCTGAAGTTACTGTAGTAGTCCAGAATAAGATCTGAGACTTTGCTGGGAACATGATGTCGATGGAGGGCAAGCTCTACCAGCTTGTGTGGGATGGAGGCATATGCATTGGCGAGATCAAGTCACAGCACAGTGAGATCCCCTTTCCCTTCGCAAGCTTCCCTAAAAAGTTGTGTTATGACACCAGTATGTTCCAAGCAGCCAGGCACCCCAGGGATTCCACCCTTCTGGACAGCGGTGTCAATGTAGCTGTTCTTCAGAAGGGACTTGTTAGTCGTGACAAAATGCTGAAGAAAATCTTGCCTTTGACGCTCAGCAGTGAGATGGTTCTAAACTGGCTGATGTCTTTGGAGTCCTATTCCTGCACCAGATCACCCTCAGGATCTTCCACAGGTAGTGAAGGAATTGCAGGCAGCGCTTGTTCCCATAGTATGGGACCCCACTAGGGCCTGGGGCTGACACAGATCTGGCTCCTTTTACCACCTCCTGAACCTCTGACCGGGTGGGCTCCCTCAGAGCAAAATCCACTGATTGTGGTTGTGGGCTTATAAGGGCCCTCTGTGGCTTTGGCTCCAGTTCTCTCTTTGGATCGCTAAAGGTGTTGTGCAGAAAGGTGTTCACCTCCTCAGCTGAGCTGACTAGGCTGCCACTGCACTTATCCTCCAGGAGCTTCTTGATGATAGTGAAAGGGTTGGAGATGAAAGCGGCATGCTTCCTTGCCTAACATTTTAGAGAAACATCAGTCTGGCTTTAGGAGAACCCACAGTACAGAGACAGCACTTTTAAAGATTCTAAAAGACATCAGGTGGAACTTTGACAATAAAAAGCTCACAGTGTTGGTTCTTCTGGATCTAAGCACCGCTTTTGAAACAGTAGACCATCACTGTTATGTTACTGAAATAGAGATTATCTCAATAACCATTCGGACGAGGACTCAAAATGCAATACCCCTTACATCACTCTTAAAGGAAGATTACCCTCAGAACTCTCACTGTACACCCCCCTTTCTAAGTACATTACCAATGTAATACCCTGATAAATATCAGTGGTATTTATTTCATTATTTTCATGTGAATAAGTTAAGGATAAAATGCCAGCTCATGGTTAAATTAAAGTTTACATAAAAACTATTTGCTATAAAGAAGATATTACAATGTATAAATAATATATGTTTAAAATGAGCGACTTAAAAAACATCATTTGTGTGAATGTATTTAAAAAATGTTAAAAGTAATTCTATTACATTATCTTACGTGCATGAGTTCATGACCATAGAGTTTTTTTAACACTTCCAGGAGAGACCGGAGAGAGGAGGACGAAGGAGCAATGGGTTAATGGCGTAGATAAGCTGAGACTCTGGGACTGTGTGTTGTTGGTGAGGAGTTTTATGAGTGACGGACTTCAAACTGTAGTTGACCAACATTCTTTGTGAAGTATGCATACAAGTGATGCACTTTTGTGAGCCTCAGGATTTGAACTCTTTTTTCCCTTAGCCTTAGGCATGTTGGCTTGATGTCTATAACCACCACTGTTAAGAGAAGTGAATAAGAAAAACCAATAGCTGATGTTATGGGTGCAACCATCTTATTTTACAGTCATGTTTGAAGCTACTACTTGTTTTAGCAGACTAAAGATAAGATAAAATAAGAAGGAAAAATATTTAAACTATATGTGATAACTATATTCAAGAAGTAAATATTACATAATGTGTACATTGTGTAGTCAACGTCAGTCAATTTATTCCACATGTATACAGTGGCTGATTTATACTTCTTACCTTGTTTGTTGGGAGGATGATGTAGAAGCCAAGATGTGGTGGTGGCAGAGTTTATACTGTCTGTATTGATATGCTCAATGTACAACTGCTGTGCAGTCATAGTTATCTCTATGCTCAATAAGTTTGACCTGGGTCATGGATAATGTTTACCAGTCACACCTGGCCTGAGTCAAATTAATAAAACATACATTGAAAGTACATTCAGTTTCTTATGGCACTGCTTTACATGGAAGCATGTCACTGGAACATATGGTCATTTAACCCCTCAAAACAGGTCCAGATACCTTATTTGTTCATTTGAATGCAACATTGGCTGAGATATAGGCAAAATCAGTGTTTCCTGTTCGCATATAAATAATTGATTGGTCATGTTGACAACTATTAAACATAGCTCATCATTTTCAGCACATTTTTTCCAATAAGGAAATAATACTGACTGGGGGGTGCATAATACCTGTAATAGACAGCTACTGGCAGAATTCCTATTTTCTCCGATTTGAGGTATAGTGCAGAACTTTGGCTATAGAAAGAGTAATTTTCAAGCCAGAAAGGTCATCTTGGGCTCAAATTGAAGCTTAGGGACATGGGAAGTTTATATATACAAATGAGGCAGTGATATTTACCATAAAGTGCTGGAAATCAATCATCTTTGTTATTATTTGTCAAGCGGACAGTATATTTTTTTGTGTTTCTGGGGATGATGTTGGTCATAATTATGAATACAGTTGTAGCAGGTCCTAAAATCCTATTGGGCTACTTAACCCTATGTCTCAGGATACCCCATGCCAAATTTTAGACTTTCATGTCCAATTATGTAATTTTAGTGAATTAATATTTGCCTTAACACAATTTCGCTGGAGCCATGTACCAAAAAGGTTTTGGGGCAGATGGGACATTCTGAGAACTTTTTATCATAGCTCATCATTTTCAGCACATTTTTTCCTATAGAAAAACACTGATTAGAAATATATCTCCGGGGGGTGCACTGAACCCCCTCCTTCCAACTAGACTACATGGTGGGCAGGACTTTCATGTGATGTCAATGCATCACTTTTAAGATAACCATCCGAACGTCTCGACTTTTAACTCGCTGTTGTGGCCACATTTTTTGAAGTACAGACATGAAAAACAGATCATTGTGTTCATGAAGGGCGGAGGATTCGTATGATTTTCTTATTTTCATTCTGGGATATAAGGAAATCGTGCTATGTGAAGAAGTCCAGAGGCAGCTTCTCATTCAAACAGTAGGTCAGTTAATGCCTTTGATCTCACAGCTGTTTAGGATGCAATCATTAACGAGACACACAGTCTGACAATGTGTGTGCGTGTGTGTCTGTGTCTAAAAGACCTGCATGTACACACAGTTAATATGTGTCTGCATCACCACCTATCTCCACCCACAAACTTTGAGCTACAGAAACCATTCTGGGCTTCAAAAATTCAGCTCATTGAGGACATTATGGGGTGTACTCAGGATTTTTTTTATTAAACTTTTCCCCACTTTAAAATTATTCTCATTATTCATGCATTATTAAATTCGTCAGACAAATCTAGACTCATTCAAACTGATTCAAACCTTTCTGATACTTCAAACCTGTTTAACACTTTAGGACTTCTAATTATTTAAAATTTTTCCCACTTCAAAATCATTCCCATTATTTATGTATGTTTTAATTCTTCAAACAATATCCCAGTTCTACCACTACAATTACTACTTATATCACTTTAACTTGTATCTTCACTTCTACCTCCACTGCTCTTGCTTCTCTTAATATTTTTTTTACTTCTGCTCTTACTTCTACCACGAGCTCTACTGCTTTGACTTCTACTTCTTCTATTCAAAAACTATTTCTACTGCTTACATGACTACTAATATCACTAGTACAACTACCTATTATCATACTTCTTCTAGTACTTCAAATTAAACTTAAGCCGCTTCTTACTTTTCTGTGTTTTAAGGTAATTTTCTTCCTTATACAATTTTTTTGCAATTTCAGACAGTTTTTCTAGCCTTATTTAGCATGAATGCAATTTTAATTTATGAAGCACATTCATACTATTTGTACTTCAGCAATTTTCACTTTCATCTAACTTCTACTTTTCTTTCTCCAGCTCTTTAACCAAGTTTACATTTAAACCTTCCTCCATTTTTTTTTTAGCAGTTTAGCATTGCTTTTTCAGCTTCCAGCACTCAGCATTTCCACGCATTTTCTGCAAGGAAATGCAATTTTTTCTAGTTTTGATAATGCCTGTCACATTAAAGTCATAAACACTGTAAAATGCTGTTTACTTTAGAAAAACCCTTACACTGATAGGTTATATCTAAAAGTTTAATATTATCTTTAATTTACTTTAATCTCAATAGAATATAAATATCTCTTGAAGTAAAGTGGAGGTTATTTTTCGTCAACTAGTTTAAGAGTTTAAAAGCATTTTAATTTAAAAACCTTCCTTATTTCGGTACAAAACGACAACGTTTTGAAAACTATAGCTAAGTAGGCCTTTGTCTCATAGGTAACATAGGTAACCCAACAAAAACTGGAAACTTTGTGTTTCATTATAAATTCCACTGAAGCCTTTACTTCAATTGAATTCAGTCGATTTTCTTTAGAAGGCTACTAAAAATAGTCTATATATACTCCTATCATATCAATATTTTAGAGCAGTAACTACATCTGTAAAGCTTTGTCCCCCTGTTTAAAAAAAAACCCCAAGTTGATAATTGTCATTGATCATTGTTTAATCGCAGGGCTCTCAAGTTTTGAACTAAGCTTAGAGTGAGATTTCCTTGGGGGGGGGGGGGTGATTGAAGATAATTATTAGTATATATATCTCTTAAATACAACGGAGTGTAAGGGGCACAATTAGCCCACAGCTCTTCTCAGAGCTGTGGGCTCGTCTTCCGTGTCAGGACCCCGTCTCCTTGCTATGGTCAGATCTTTAACCACAGGTTTCTGCAGAGACCAGGAGCAGCTGATGACTCAGTGCAGAGCTGGAGGTGTCGGTGGTGGAGTGGCAGCTGGTGCATTTTCCTTTAAAGATAAATCTGAAAAAATTTGAAATCAAACAAACTGGAGATATGCATTTTATACATCCAAGGTGTAACAGCAGGTGTAACACAGCCTGCTCTCTTTCAGTGCATGACTGCAGGGAACCTTACAGGGAGTGAGGACTTGTTTCAGCAGCAGGAACCAGGTTCTGAAATTAAATCCTGATCAGGGGGTCATACTTTCCATAGAGTTCAGGGATTAGGGGGGCGGGGCTTAAAGGTGAAAAGGTCCCTTATTAACATCTGATTTATCAGTAACAGTGTGAACAGATTTAAGCTCATTTCCATCTACATCAGGAACGTAGCTGTTAGAGCAGACTCAGCTCTGATCAGAATCAAAACAATCCACAAACAGTGAAAGAGGCTGACAGTTGGGTATAGAGACAGGCACTTTCACAGCTCTGGACCTGCACTGTAGAGGAGAGCAGCTTTGTCCTTTTTCAGTTTCATTTAATCTTCATCTGCTCAGAACGCCTAGACCAGTTTCAGTCCTACCAAGACAACATGATCGCGCTGAGACGGTTCAAATGATGCAGGAACGAAATGAGAAGCCAAAAGTCCACCAAGAATAAACACAATTGAGCAAAAGAAGCAAAGACGAGAAAAGTCCTCAGAGGACAATAAATCCGTTGGTGACTCTGTTTTGTTTGTGTCTCCTCTGTTGTGTTTTGTGTGTTTTATTTCAACTTTATTCTCGTAAATAACTTTATGACTTTTTTTCTCGTAATGACTTTATTCTCGTAAATATTGATTTTATTATGACTTTATTCTAGAAATGACTTAATGAGGACTTTATTCTCTTAAGTCATGAATTTATTTCAACTTTATTCTTGTAATGCCTTTATTTCAACTTTATTCTAGTAATGACTTTATTCCAACCTTATTCTCGTAAATAACTTTATTCTGACTTTTTTTCTCATAATGATTTTATTCTCGTAAATATTGATTTTATTATGACTTTATTCTAGAAATGACTTTATTTCAACTTTATTCTTGTAATGACTTTATTTCAACTTTATTCTCGTAATGACTTTATTTTAACTTTATTCTAGTAATGACTTTATTTCAACTTTATTCTAGTAATGACTTTATTTCAACTGAATTCTCGTAATGACTTTATTTCAACTTTATTCTCGTAATGACTTTATTTCAACTTTATTCTCGTAAATATTGATTTTTGTTATGATATATTCTAGAAATGACTTTATGAGGACTTTATTCTCGTAAATAACTTTATTTCAACTTTATTCTTGTAATGACTTTATTTCAACTTTATTCTAGTAATGACTTTATTTCAACTTTATTCTAGTAATGACTTTATTTCAACTGAATTCTCGTAATGACTTTATTTCAACTTTATTCTTGTAATGATTATATTTCAACTTTATCGTTGTAATGACTTTATTTCAACTTTATTCTCGTAAATAACTTTATGATTTTTTTTCTCGTAATGACTTTATTCTCGTAAATATTGATTTTATTATGACTTTATTCTAGAAATGACTTTATGAGGACTTTATTCTCTTAAGTAATGACTTTATTTCAACTTTATTCTCGTAATGCCTTTATTTCAACTTTATTCTAGTAATGACTTTATTCCAACCTTATTCTCGTAAATAACTTTATTCTGACTTTTTTTCTCATAATGACTTTATTCTCGTAAATATTGATTTTATTATGACTTTATTCTAGAAATGACTTTATTTCAACTTTATTCTCGTAATGACTTTATTTTGACTTTATTCTAGTAATGACTTTATTTCAACTTTATTCTCGTAATGACTTTATTTCAACTTTATTCTTGTAATGATTTTATTTCAACTTTATTGTTGTAATGACTTTATTTCAACTTTATTCTCATAAATAACTTTATAATGACTTTTTTCTCGTAATGACTTTATTCGCGTAAATATTGATTTTAGTATGACTTTATTTTAGAAATGACTTTGAGGACTTTATTCTCGTAAATAATAACTTTATTTCAACTTTATTCTCGTAAGTAATAACTTTATTTCAACTTTATTCTTGTAATGACTTTATTTCAACTTTATTCTAGTAATGACTTAATTTATTTTCAACTTTATTCTCGTAATGACTTTATTTCAACTATATTCTCGTAATGACTTTATTTCGACTTTATTCTTGTAATGACTTTATTTCAACTTTATTCTTGTAATGACTTTATTTCAACTTTATTCTCGTAATGACTTTATTTCAACTTTATTCTCGTAAATATTGATTTTATTATGATATATTCTAGAAATGACTTTATTAGGACTTTATTTTCGTAGGTAATGACTTTATTTCAACTTAGTTCTCGTAAATAACTTTGACTTTTTTTCTCGTAATGACTTTATTCTCGTAAATATTGTTTTTACCATGACTTTATTCTAGAAATTACTTTATTAGGACTTTATTCTTGTAAGTAATGACTTTATTTTGACTTAATTCTCGTAATGGCTTCATTTCTCGTGATGACTTTATTTTGACTTTAATCTCGTCAACATGATTTTATTACAATTTAATTCTCGTAATGACTTTATTCTTGTAAATAATGACTTTATTCTCGTAATGACTTTATTATGGATTATTATGATTCTGATGCGTAATGATTTTATTACTTTTTTTTGTAACTCGACTTTATTTTGATTTTTTTCTCGTTAGTAAAGACTTTTTTCTTGTAAGTTAATGACTTTAATCTCAACATCTTTATTATTTTTTTCTTAATTCCCTTATACTATATATCCCTTATACTCTGTTGTAGTTTTCAGATGAGAGTTGAGCTACTGAGCGGTAATTAAATGGAAACAGTTTTAATAAAAAAAGTTCAGTGTGTGTGCTGCAGACTGAGCTTTGATGGCTCAAGCTTCCATTAGGGTGGAGGTCTGGAACAGGGACAGATGGAGGCTGCAGGGAAACGCAGTCAAAGGCTGCACCGCCATGATGATGATGTCAGTGATGAAGAGTTGTGACACTGTTTAACATGTTGAAAAACAAAAAGTATTTGATGGTTTGTTAATCATCTAAAGACTTGATTTATAGAAAACACCAAAACTATGATGAACTAATTTTACATTTTTATTCCTTGATTGAATCATAATTGAATGATAACCAGTATAAAGGTGTATGATCATTACTCTGTTATTGTGGTGGTAAGTGGTGGACAGGGGTGCTGTTTTTAACACTGTTTCAGTGTTTATGTCCATCTGTCCTCCTGTCTGTCAGTTCAGTGTACATTTTAGGACACTGTGATCTTACCCTCCTCACTCTGACATGTTGTGCTCTGTTTAAATGACCTTCTGCCGGTACGTGAGTCACCTTTTTACTGTCTGAAATACCTTTAGATGCTGTTTCACTAAAGATCATTTTTCTAAGATTATAAGCTGGACAGACATTCTTCTCCTATTTCATCTCCTGGACGGCCATCTTCAGGACACTTTCAACACTTGATTAATCTGTAAAGCCCTCTCTTACATTGATTCAGTTTTTACAGTTAGAGAGCGCTCACATCGACACTTAGGAGTGTTTACAGACAGCACAACTCTGTTCATCTCTGCCCCCAAGTTAAAAGACCGGTTTCACACTTCCTCTTATTTCTTTTCTTCAGGTCTCTTGATAAGTGTCCACATCTTTGCCACATCCACACATCTGTCCTCTGAAGCATTTTGACCTTTGTGGTAATTCTCCATCAGACCACTCAAGCATCTTTGCCTAGTAAGATCCAGGTGGTGGGGTTTTTTTTGGACAGGCCATGTGTTTCAGGGGTTTAAAGTCTAAAAGCTGTAACTATACTGGATCAAACAGCTGAGCACCTCCCTCTGGTCCACCTGAGATAGCCCCCTTATCTTCATTTAGTTTTCAGTTGTCCTCCAATCCCTCTTCTGAGTTCTAATCCAATCAACAGCCTCTCTGAAAATAGTCAAAGAGCTTCCATCTGTGTCTGATCAGAGCCCCGACATCTGCCTTGTGTTAGGTCAGCTAACTCAGTTTTCTCCGGCTGATGCCTGAAGGACTTGTGAAGTAAGAGATCTTAACATAGCGCTCAGATGGTGGGATCCCTGTCCTCGCTGTGAGGACTGTAAGTCCAAACAGCAGCTTCCCCTGGTACAGCAGCACTGGATCTCTGAGTTTAGAGTCTGGTAGACGATGTTTCACAGAGAGGTGAAAACTGTCCCATGGTCTGATAAATCAAGCTTTGACAGTCTTTTTGGAAATCCTGAAAGACTTTCTTAGATTTTTAAGGTCAGGTTTCCTGGTGTTGCTCCCCTGAAATTCACAAATGAGGTTAAAACTGGGCATAGAAAAGGATCCAGAAACACCAGACTTCTATGGACCTGAGCTCAGTTAAGGTGGACTGAGGGGAAAACTGTCCTGAGGTCTGATGGATCAAAATCTGACTTTCGGAAATCCTGGACTCTGCATCCTCCTCTCTAAAGATTTGAGAGTTCACATGGCTAGTTCTCAGCTCCTAATCCAAATCCAGCATCCCTGATGGCATGAGTATCATCAGAGTCCATGTCGTGTGTATCTTTCACATCTGTGAAGGCCCCATTAACACTGAACAATATCTCCAGGTTTAGGAACATCAGGACTCTATAGTTGGAGTCACCGCATGGGTTTAATATCACTTGTCCATGAACTGTCCTGAGGTCTGATTAATCAAAATCTAACAGGCTTTTGGAATGGGTAACTGAACTAACTTGTAAGTCCAGTTACCCTTTCAATGAAGAAAAGGAAATCATAGATGCTGCATCCTCAGTTTTAAACAATATCTCCAGGTTTAGGATCAACATCTGCGTCCATCCAAAGACTTCTTCAGGGAAGACCTTCATATGATCCCAAACCACATTCTGACAACAGGGATTACAACAGCATAGCTCTGTTGGAGAAGAGTCCTGCTGCTGAGAAACTGGACTGATGCAGTCCTGACTTGAGCCCCATTGAAAACAGTTGGAGTATCATGACCTCAAAAACAGGACCAAGAAGACTCTGATGTGACAATGAAATTTCCTGATAGAGGATTTCAGCTGCTCAACAGTTCAGAGAAAACATGTTTTTTAATTCAGTGAAGATGTTTTCAGACGATACGACACGAGAGGAAACATTTCAGAGTCAACATGTTTTCTTTATTTGGATGTTTCAACATTAATCCATCAGTTTACAATCTGTTAACTCTGCTCTTCAGGCTGAAACCATCAAGAATCATCGCCATGTCCTACACTGCACCCTGATTGGCTGCAGTGAGAGGTAAGAGGACCTGTCGGGGGCGGGGCTTTGCACATGTTTTGGCCCTTTCAGTCAAATTAAATAATCACAGTAAGAGGTGAGACATCAGACAGGTAAGACTTTAGTAGATCAGGCAGAAACGCTGATGTTCAGCACTGTGGGCATCTCCACAGTTCCTGTTTCTTCAAGTGCTGACAGAAGCATTCATGCTGAGGCTGGAATAAGGCTGCAACTGTTTAAACCATTGAGGGCAGAAGCTCTAATGAGAAGAGAGCTGAACTAAAGCATCATGAGGGGGTTTATTCCATTACTGGTGAGGGAATGACGAGAACATTGAGAAGAACTCTCTTTCAACAGCTGCAGGAACAGTGGAGAGTGGAGATGAGGAGATGAGGGACAAAGAGGAGAGAGGGGCCGATGACTGTGGTAAAAAGGTGTACAGGCAAAATGAGACAGTCAAAGGGAAACCAAACAGGTGCAGCAGGGATGGATGTGTCTCTGGATTTCTGATCTAAAAACTGGTCTGAGGCCCAGAAACTCCCCTGAAATGGACGTCATACGGAAGCTTTGGGTCAGTGTTGCAGAACTGCTCCATCTGTATGGCAGACTTTGTCTGATCTCAGACAACTTAAACAGAAGAAGGTGTTTCTTCCTAACTTTGAAAATACTTTTTTTCCTACAGTATTTAAGATATTTTTCAAGGGGAGAACCACTGAGCTGTCTCTCGGGATCCCTGAAATGTGGACTTTTTAAAGCAAACAGTGCCTCGAAAAAACACCCTCATAAAATTCTCCTCCTCTTCTTCTTCTCTTCCTCCTCTCAGCCGGACGGGGCTCAGTAGCGGTAGTGGTCCGGTTTGAAGGGCCCATCTTTCGGCAGACCCAGGTACTTGGCCTGTTTTTCTGAAAGCTTTGTGAGCTTCACCCCAAGTTTGTCCAGGTGAGCGGCTGCCACCTGCTCATCCAGCTATGGAGACAAAGAGAATAAAGGAGACAGTCCGGAGTTAGAGAGAAGGTTTAATGTCTTTTTGCTGCAGCTCCTTTATTATCAGCTGATTGGATTATTAACACACTCACATGATAATGAACTCTCTGAACTCAACAAATGTAGCTACGGTGATGAGCCGTCACATGAAGACACTAAAACTACAGAACTTTTCTGCTGTGCCAGAATCAGTCTAATGCAGACAGAAAGGATTCAGCTACACTGTCCAAAGCTCTCTGCAGAGCGTCTCATCTGTGCAGCTATAACCATTGAAATGATCGAGGACGGCGTTGGAAGGTAACTGGACTGTCACCTAAGACGAAGCGTTTTCAAGAACCTCACATGTCCAGTTACCCTTCAACAAAAGAACTGGACTACCATAACCTGGATGAATGAGAACCTACAGACAAGGTTCAAAATGATGAAACAACTCCTGTAGTTCTCCTCTCTCTCCACAGCTGGAGTTTCATACTTTTAATTATTGGTTTCAGCACACTGACGTGATTTTGAAACAGTCGTGCGAATGTTAAAAAAGATCTGTGTTGATTTTTAAAAAATTCAGCTCAGACAGTTGAAACGGACTCCTTCACCTTCCTTCAGTTCCAGCTGCACCTAAATGACCCATCAGCAGGGCCTCAAAGACTTCAGCTCCTGATCGTCACTGACTTTTCCTGAACCATGTTTGATCACATTCCCCTGTCAAACCACAGACTGATGTTAAAACTCTGAAAATTCCATCTCAGCGTGCTTTACTGATTAAAAGGTGGAAAAATCTGTAGTTTTGATTTTTCTGGAGGAAAATTTAACCCAACGTTTCAACTTTTAACCCAAACACAGGAGAAGAATCCGACTCTTTATGGACCATGTAGGAAAGATGACTGACGTCCTCTGAAGGTAAAGAAACCCTGAACAGATACATTCTCCTTGAGCTGGACCTCAAAGAGACTACGCTCTTCATCGACACAGCCAAAGTCTGCTGAATGACAGAAGCAAGTCATGTAAGGTGGCATATGTTGTTATTACGTTACGTTATTTTATTCAATTTTTGAGGATCTCCTTTTCTAAAAATTAAGTTCTTCTAAAGAAATGTCCAGACTTTGTCCTGATTTTACTCTGTGATAGCTGGAGTCATGGCCTCAAATGAGGCTCTCCTGTATTACAGATAATTCTGTGTTGAGCTCATCAAATTAAAAGCAGGAGTGGCTCTGGGTGAAAACATTGTTTCCTCAGAGGTCAAACTGTTATCTTTAGTTTTATATCGACCATATGAAAACAAAAAATAAACTGATTGGAGTCAAGTCTGTGTTTGGATAACACTGCTACAGTTTCCATCTTAAAAGGCCTTTTTATGAGATATTAAGCTTTTTAATCGCGTCCGGCCCTTAGAAGGAGAGGATTCAAGGAAGAGAGTCAAAAAAAAGACCTTTTTGATGGTCTGCAGACTTAAAGCTCTTCTAGTTCCCAGCTTTAAGGGTTTCAGTCTCTGTAAGCTGAATAAAAACTGTCTCGTTCACCCTTGTCTGCTCTCACTGCTGCAGCACTTCAGGTTTGGATGTATAAATCCCTGCCCTGCTCATGAACCTGCTCCTCTGATATGAGATTTTATGGTAAAGCCAATATGAATGACCCTCAATTTAATAAACTCAGCTGAACAAATGAGAGTTTCCCAAGTGTGTCTGAGGAAGAGACAGAAACTCCAGGATGTCTGTAAAGAGTTAGAAACTGATATGTCTTTGTTCAGGGTGTGACACCTGCTTCAGAGTCCAAATAAGTTCATCAGATCTTTGTTTTTTAGCCCTGAAAGACTCCAAAAATACTGAACTTTACCGTCAGGTCATCACAAGTGTAAAAATTAAAGTCTTAGTCTTAGACAGGTTCGATGTGATTCTGGGGAGTAAAGACACACGGAGTGAATTTTCTTTAAAGGGTCATTAATGTTGTTTTCAGCCGTTTACATGTTCTGGTCATAGTTACCTGCAGAAAAGAGACCTTTGACTTGGTTTCTGCGACCAAAGCAAACCATTTGGAGAGTCTGGATCTTAACTTTGACATCTGGACTTTAATGTTGAAGCAAAAACACAACAGTGGAGGAGGACGCTGAAAAACTGAAGGAGTGGGTGCAGTTTTACATGCACCTCTTTGCAGACCAGTCGTGTTACTACATCGTTGCAGGAGCAAAGTGAGGTTTTACTGCAAAAGCTGAGTTTCCTCAAGATGGAAAGTCACAACGGAAGTTACTGATGCAAAAAAAGGAACCGAAGCCCACTGCAAATATAAAAAGAAACGGTGCAGAAAAAACAAAAACAAAAGCCACAACAGAAGTTAACAACGCAAAAAAAAGTGGCGATGGATAAAAGAAAAAAACTTACTGCGAAAATAAAAAGGTCGCAAATAAATAAAGCCACAACGGAAGGGAGCTGCCGGGGACCATGTAGCGCCTGAGTCGATATGAAGTTGAACAGGAGAATGCGAATGTAGTGTTAGCTTCAGTTCAACTTCATATTGAATCAGGTGCTACATGGACTAACTAAATGACACAATAAAAAGCACACAAAGCGAAATCAAAGAATAACATTTCCACTTACTTCTTCTGCACCGTTTCTTTTATTTGCAGCGTTTTTTTTTTGTTTTTGTTTTTTTTCCCCCCATCGGTAACTTCTGTTGTGACTTATGTTTTTTTTTTTGCGTTATTTTTTACGCAAACTGGAAACTGGACTACATCCTCAACACAGCACCTACAGTTAGGCCCAGAAATATTTGGACAGCGACACCATCTTCATGATTTGGGCTCTGCATGCCACGACAGTGGATTTAAAATGACACAACTACAATGGAATTGAAGTGCAGACTTTAAAGGGGACCTGCCATCAAAATTTCATACCCATTTTAATCATTTTTTCATAATCCTTGATGTCCTCTGATCATGTTTGCAACATAATTTTAGCTGAAAGGTTATTTGATGGTTTGTTTTAGTATGCCTAAAAAACCTTACAGGAAAACCAACTGATTTTGGCTCATTAACATTTATGGTAATGAGCTTTGCTCTGATTGGATCGCTGCTGTGAAGCCTGCTGTGCTCTGATTGGCTCAGCAGTGGAGGTTCGGATTCGGTTTATCCATTTTGCTAATGTGTGCTAAAGTAAGGTGCCCAGATGTCTGTCGGTGCGGCGGCGGGGAGGGTGCAGGGGCTGTGTGATCACAGACAAAATCTCAGTACTATTTAGTAGCAGCTCATGCCCCTTGTAATAACCCCCGTAAGAACTGTTGTTCAGGACTGCTTACTTGTGCTTCCTACCCATTCGGCTACTGTTCGAGCCCACACGCAACATTTTTGCTCTCATTCATGAAACGCTTAACTCGGGGACATTTTCGGGGACAGCTTTTGCCGAGGACAGGTCATCCAATACGGGGACTGTCCCCGGAAATCGGGGACGTCTGGTCACCTTATCCTAAAGGCTAAAAATGGCAGGTATTAAACCATATATTTTAGACCCGACTCCGAAGAGGAGGTGGAAGTTCAAGAAGAAGCCGGAGATCTCCAGCGGTGTTTTCTCATTCATTCTGCCCAGCTTTAAGTTCATTTTCCAGGCAGTGAACCCAAGGAAACACTGGTCGTTTGGAAGGGACCCATAGCGGATACAGTGGTAGCTGGCTCACGCTCTGGAGAGTGATGTTGGCTGTGAATGAGTACGAAAACGAGAGAGTGGGCGCGGCTCACCGAGGACGCGCTCGTGAATAATAATGAGCAAGGTCAGCGCGACGTCACAAGGACGTGCATTTTCAATTGGCCTGGTTTTCTTTATTTTAAACCTTTACAGAATGCAAACGACATAACGGTTTGTTTTTACATTTACAACATAAGACGAACATAATATGGACCTTATCTGACACAAAAAACACAAAATTACATTTTTGATGGAAGGTCCCCTTTAAGGTTTAATTCAAGGGGTTGAACAAAAATATATGATCAAACATGTAGAAATTTAAGTTAATTTTATACAAACACTCCTCATTTCAGGGGCTCAAAAGTAATTGGACAAATTAACATAACCCTAAGTGAAATTAATATTTTGTTGAGAAACCTTTGCAGGCAATGACTGCCTGAAGTCTGGAACCCATGGACATCACCAAACGCTGGGTCTGCTCCTTTGTGATGCTTTGCCAGTCCTTTGCTGCAGTTGTCTTCAGTTGCGGCTTGTTTGTGGGTCTTTGTACCTTAAGTTTTGTCTTGAACAAGTGAAATGCATGCCCGATTGGGTTGAGATCTGGTGACTGACACGGTCATTGCAGAATATTTCACTTCTTTGCTTTAAAAAACTCCTGGGTTGCTTTTGCAGTATGTTTTGGATCATTGTCCATCTGCACTGTGAAGCGCTGTCCAATCAACTTTGCTGCATGCTTCTGTCTTTTGTCACATCATCAATAAACACACTTGACCCTGTGCCATTGGAAGCCATGCATGCATGCCATTGCCATCACACTGCCTCCACCATGTGTTACAGAAGATGTGGATCGCTGTTGATCATGAGCTGTTCCAATTCTTTTCCAAACTTTCTTCTTCCCATAATTCTGGTACAGGTTGATCTTAGTCTCACCTGTCCAAAGAATGCTGCTCCAGAACTGGGCTGGCTTCTTCAGGTGATTTTTTGGCAAAGTCAATTCTGGCCTTTCTATTTTTGAGGCTGATTAATGGTTTGCACCTTGTGGTGAATCCTTTGTATTTACTCTCATGAAGTCTTCTCTTTGTGGTAGACTTCGATACTGATACACCTACTTCCTGGAGAGTGTTCTTCACTTGAGTGGATGTTGTGAAGGGGTTTTTCTTCACCATGGAAAGGTGGTCTTCCGTGGACGTCCAGGCCTTTTTGAGTTCCCAAGCTCACCAGTGCACTCTATTTTTCTTAGAATCTACCAAACTGTTGATTTTCATTTCTGCTATCTCACTGATGGAATTCTTCTTTTTTTCAGCCTCAGGATAATCTGTTTCACCTCCATTAAGAGCTCCTTTGACCGCATGTTGTGTATTCACAGCAACAGCCTCCAAATGCAAACGCCACACTTGGAATCAACTCCAGACCTTTTAACTGCTTAATTAATGACAGGTTAACAAGGGAAGAGCCCATGCAGCCTTGTTATTTTTTGCAGCCTTCTGAATCAATTGTCCAATTACTTTTGGACCCTTGAAAAAGAGGTGGCTACATATTAAAGAGCTGTAATTCCTAAACCCTTGCTCCAATTTGGATGTGAATACTATCAAATTACAGCTGAGAGTCTGCAGTTTAAGCCCATATTGCTTATGTAACTGTATCCTGAATATGTTTTCGTAAACAGCTATAAAAACAAAACTTGTGTCACTGTCCAAATATTTCTGGGCCTAACTGTGTATAACAGTATCAACTTATCAAGCTGAACCTCATCCAAAACCCCTCTGAGTCCAGTCTGAGTAGTACCACTGTAAATACCCCTGTTTAGACTCACCTTCTTGGGCAGGAAGTAGACTCCAATGGGATACTTGTCGGTGTTGGTCCACAACTCAATCTGAGCCAGAACCTGCAGGAAGAGAGATGATAAGACTCCGACACACACTGTTCAGTTCAGCCGTTTACACATGAGGTCTGTTTCTTCCTTTTGCTCTCATGGGGCTCTATTTTCTTGTCCGCCGGTGAGACGGCAGAGGGTGGCTAACCCCGCGCAGTGGTATTTTCGTCTAGCGGAGCCCAGCGTACAGCCAGTTTGGTATTTTCGTAGACTGAGGTCCGCCAAGCTGGGTGTGGTGGCGTAGCAGAGGGAGGTGTTGACAGAAACAGCTGGCGCAGTGACATTTTCGTGCTCTCCATTGGCATATAAAGTGTGCTGAAAGCTCGCCGATTCAAACCTGGTCAGCTTTCAGTGCAGGCGGAGCGCAGCTGGTCTAGTGGTATTTTGGTAGACCGGTGGCGTATCGGCATACATCACAGATGCCTCACCAGCAGGTTTCCACAGTGTCCGGAACATTTCAGTGAAATAAATAATCAACAACTAATAATATCAGTCAGCACATACATTTAGATCTATATAGATATATTCTGATCGTTTGGCACGCGTTTGGACACACAACCTGACCGAATCAACACAGCTGAAACCGTCCTTTTCCCTCCTCCTCTTTCTTCCTCTTATTTCTCGCGCAGCTCGACCTGGACATGTCTCCGTGTCCTCTCTCCATCCTGCTGCAGCTGCTGCAGCTGCGGCTGAACAGATGATTTGTTTCAGTGCTCAGATGAGTTATTTACTTTAAGCCTACATACGAATATTATAATATTCAGTTTTGTGAGCCAAATTTATTTTATATGCTGACATGTATGAAAGAAAGAGTCAGGCCACGGAGCGCTAGTGCTGGACGATAATTCGATAACAATATATATCGATCGATAGACGTGTGGTGCGATAGAAAAAAAACGGGTCGATAAAAAGTTCGATAGAAAAACACAGTTTCCCTCTTTTTCATCATAGCCTATCATGTAGCTTTTACTACAGTCATTACTTCCTCCCAACCAATCACAAACGCAGACCCAGGTACGCTACGGCACCAAGCCCCGCCCCTCTCAAACCACAACAGACAGCACGTGTATTACAAAAAATGTTACAGCAAGGAGAAGCGGAGGAAATTGTCCCGAAAGAAGGTTTCAGTAGTTCACCAGCATGGCAATATTTTGGTTTTTACAAGTCTGACAAAAAGCAAACAGCGGTCGTTTGCAAAATTTGCAGAGAATTAGTAAAAACCAAGTCTGGTAACACAACCAACTTGTTTTACCATCTAAACCGGTCGCACCCGCAGGAGTACGAGCTGTGTCGGCCGCGCCGCGGCTCCTCGTCGTCGTCGGAGGAGGAATCCTCTGGAACCGCTGCCAGCCCCAGCACAAAGCAAGTGAAGCAGACCAAACTGGACTTTGTTTCTTGCCAAAAATACGACAAAGCGTCCAAGCGGCATAAGGACATCACCCATGCAGTAACATGCTTCATAGCGAGGGACATACTGCCAATAACTACCGTTGAAAAGCCAGGCTTCAAACAGCTTCTAGCCACTCTTGACCCGCGATATGAAGTGCCCGGCCGCAAGTATTTCTCAAACACAGCGCTTCAGGCATGAAAATGGGTCAGGGGTTGAAAAGGTGAGAAGGGTGCGGAGGAAATACGTTCCGGTGTTTTGCCGTAGAATGCACCCCTGCATCCCGTCCACTCATTTGCGAGTACTTGGATCATGACTACTAGCAAACTTTCGTTCTGTTTTAATGTGTCTCAAAAATGCACATATCAAGGTGTACTTGGGTATATAAACTGTACAGTAAGACGTCAAGGTAGAGAACATTATACTTTCGGGACAGCAAATATACTTTCAACCGCGCTCTCGTCGGGGGGAGGGCATTCGGCAGGGGTGCATTCTACGACACAACACCGGCGTGGATAAGTCCTGCTTCTCGTGCTCAGTTTGAGTATTAAGTCAATCACATGATAATAAAAAAATAAATCTCCCGACCCTGGGAGAAATATTTCAGTGTTCAGACACCAGGCTGTGGGCAGTTTCCCACACAGTTAAAACTGGTAGTATGCTATTCCCACCTAAAGCTATTCTGTTTATTTATATATTTGTTTGTTTTGTTTATTTTCATCAAAAGACTATTTAAATATTTATTTATCAGATTTTCTGGTCACTTTAGTGTTTATGTTTGTCAGTATTTACTGACATCACTCAGGCCACACTTGATTTCTTTTTCTTTTTTAAGTTCTTTTTTAAAAAACTTTCAGTTGTGTTAAAAAAAAAAAAAAGGTGGTTGAATAAAGGTTTGAATTTGAATTCAGTGCTTGTGTGTTCTTTATTAAAAGTAGGTCATTAAGCAATAGCATAAAACATCCAGGGCTGCAATTAAAATATATGTTAAATTTTTTTTGATAATTATCGATATCGATCAATATGATTTCTTTTTTATCGATATACTTTTTTTCTATATCGTCCAGGCCTACGGAGCGCAATGCGTCATTTACGCACAGATGGTTCTGATCTTATTGCCATTATTGGAATTTATGATGTGATCTCTGCGCACCACCCACCTTTGTCACGTGAGGTTTGAATACGTGCAACTTTATGAGAGTGTCCTTATTTGTGGAAAAGGGTGTTTGTCTTACCAGTGGGTCCAACATTACACATACCAAATCCATCTGTGCTCATATGAGAGAGTGTGGAGGACGCCCTCTGCAGCGCTTACAGCAACACTTGTTGAGGGGCTGCCTTCTGTCGCCATCATGTGGCATTACTGTCTTCAGACATCTCTTGATCTCTTTGACTACTTCACGAAAATAGTAATACGCCTCGCCGGTGGCGGATTTAAAGGCGAGGAGAGGAGCTGATGTTGTTGGTCAATACAGGTCTCGGCTGTGTTAAACCCAATCCACGCCCCCCCTCTCCTCCCTCGCTACGACTTACGCCACTGGGAGGAGCAGAGTTAAGGAGGGGGGATACTTACGCCGAGCTGCGCTGCTTACCAAAATACCAAATTGTGCTTGGGAACACCTTGTCGGCGCAACGGACCTGACTTACGCCGCGCCTGTGCCACATCTCCGGCAAAGCACGAAAATAGAGCCCATGATCTTTCAGTACCTGGTTGGTAAAGGAGTTGCTCATGACGAAGGATGGATGCCCCATGGCACAGCCCAGATTCACCAGCCTGCCCTCGGCCAGGACGATGATGTGGTTGCCGTTCTTCAACCGGAAACGATCAACCTGAGAAGATCAAATCCATAAACCACAAAAATAAGACAGAGGCGTTTTTAAGGTGACGCTGAGCCATGAACTTCCTGCTCATTGACACCTTTAGTCTGTTTCAGTTTCCCCACCTGAGGTTTGATGTTGATTTTCTCTGCAGCGTTCTTGGTCAGCCAGCTCATGTCGATCTCACAGTCAAAGTGTCCGATGTTGCAGACAATGGCGTCATCCTTCATGTTCTCAAAGTGACTGAAAATTACAAAAAAAAGACTGAAATTCAAGATGTGACATTTATATAAAAAGAGACATTTACAGAAAAAGTTTCAAGAGTTTAAAAGGAACACCATGAAGCCTAAACTTTAAAGTTTAAGAGTTACATACTTGTTGGGGTATCAAATTTAAGGTTCTTTAAATACAACATAAAATCCACCAGATCCTTTTCAGTCTTTGTCAACACATGAAATCAACTCTTTTTGAACTGTTGTCATGGAAATATTTGCTCTGCTCAGACGCACTGTCCCAGGATGATGTCCTCACAGCCGGTAGTGGTGACGAAGATGTTTCCTTCTTTACAAGCCTCGTCCATGGTGGTCACTTCATAACCTACAGAGAGTAATACAGAGGGAGGAGGTTTCTGATGAGGACGAGCAGCAGGATGTCTCAAGATTAGATAAATGACAACATTTTGAACTCCAATAACGGTTATGTGCGAATAAGTTCTTGTTTATATTGATTCAGCAGATGACGTTTGATATTTCACTGATAAATCAGCCTTTCCTTACGCAAGAAGCGACCACGGTCCTTTCAGCACCTACCCTCCATCGCAGCCTGCAGAGCGTTGATTGGGTCGATCTCTGTGACGATGACCCGAGCTCCAAACCCACGAAGAGCCTGAACGCAGCCTTTACCTACATCACCGTAGCCAGCAACCACGGCGACTTTACCGGCAATCATCACATCAGTGGCTCTCTTGATGCCATCAATCAGGCTTTCCCTGCAGCCGTACAGGTTATCAAACTTACTCTGCACGAGGAGAGAGACAGAAGAGCTTTCATTTCAGTAAGTCAGAGGACTCACATAAACTTCAGCTCTGAGTCTTTAATGGTACACAACTTCATGAGGACTTCTTGTGGGGGGCTGAGAGTGTAACAGTGAGGTTAACTGGAGGTCAGACTGCAGTTTGAGTTGAACAGGTTTAAAGAAAGTTATAGAATAAAACCTGCACATAAAAATACAACGAAAGAAGTCAGACTGCTTTTGAACTGTAGAGGGAAACAGATTTTGATTTGCTCATCATTCAAAGTAAATATTTGCTTTTAAATAGTGCAAGACACATGTTTTTGAACTATTTACAAGCAACTATCTACTTGAAGACTTTCACCTCAAGTCAGAAATAAGATATAATTTTGAGATCCAAGTCAGAATTCAGTTTCTTTCTAGGCTTCTGAGATCAAGACGGAATTGTGATTTTGATCTCATAAATTAAGAAAAAAGATCTTTGAGATCCAAGTCCGAAATCTACTTTTGATCTCAGTATTCCGACCTCCGACAGTTGTCCTTTCATTGAAGAATTGAGACAACTATGACCTGGATGACTGAAGACTCTGGAGTGGAAATCACTGCATGGGCTCTAAATCACTTACAAAAACATCTTCTGTAAACACAGTTTAACACTGCATCAACAAATGAGATTAAAATTGAACCATGAAAAGAGGAGAGCAGATAGAGACAGGATCCAGAAAGACCAGAGACCTTTCTGTGCCTTGACATTCTTTTTGGAAGTCATGGTCACTGCATCCTCCTCTCCGTTAAGTTTTTGGCTTGAAACGATTCGCAAACCATCCAAATCTGTACTTATCCATGTTTTCAACAGCCTTGAGTCATAAAGAACTGGGTTGTACTCATTTAAACACATGCAGCACTTATTTATCCTATCATCCCTTTATTAATGAACAGGTTAATTAAACATAGTCCCCACCTTTATCATTAAAATCTGGGAAAACAGTGAAATGTTACCTTGGTGACAGAGTCGTTGACGTTGATGGCGGGAACTTTCAGGTCGCCCTTCTTCATCATCTTGTACAGGTTGTGGACACCTGTGGTGGTCTCCTCTGACAGTCCACGGATACCTGAACACACAAGTGTGTTAAGTTTTGGAAACAAATTCCATCTCTTGTGCTTTTGAAAGACAGAATTCTTCTCAGGTAAGGCAAACAACAGGTGTTCATGTTGACAGGTATGTGTTTTTCATGACTTAAATGAGACATAAATGTTAAATGGTAAATAAACTTATCAAAGAATATGAAGGTATTTTTGGTGCAAAAGGTTTGTGCATCTGTAACATGTAATTTGTAGTTGTGTACAGTGATTGTGTATGCGTATTAGTAAATGTGAAATCCGCACTATGAGTTGTGTTCTTGTAGATTTTTTTGTGTTGTACTTGTTGATTTTTTTTTAATCCCACAAGTACAACACAACATTTACATATTCACAAATTCTTAATTACAGGTGCACAAATCCTATTTTACAAGTCACAGATGACACGCTCACATTTTTGTGTCCAAGCTTTTGCAAACCGTCATGGCCAAAGAATCATAGATATCAATAAGAAACTCTCACTCTCCGTGTAGAAAGCATATTCTCCTCTGAATGGCTGTGAGACAAAATGCTATCACGTTGGATTGGTGCAAAAAGCGGTTGTGACTTGTGGGGAAGATTCCAGCGGTTGTAATTATCGATTTGTATTTGTGTTTTAAGACAACACAACTATTTTCGTGAAAGCTTATTGTACATAAATGTAATGTTTTTTGCACAAGTTCACATAAAGATCTGCACATATTCAAATTTTTTCCACAACTCCACATTGCTCCATACAGGTGCACAAATGTTTTGCACCAAATATGCTGCAAAAGTTTGTGCAAAAATGTGAGCATGTCAGAGTTTGAATCTGTGACTTGTAAAACAGGATTTGTGCACCTGTAATTAAGAATTTGCGAATGTCTAAATGTTCTGTTGTACTTGTGGAAATTAAAAAAAAATAAAAATTCAACAAGTACACACAAAAAATCCACAAGTACAAAACTCACAGAGTGTGTGATTTCACATTTACTAATATCTGAATTCAAATGATGCGCTTGAACCGAGAGGTTGCTGCAAGTCTGGTCTCTCTGTATTTATCTGTAATTTTTGCTAGATTTTTTTCATCTCTTGTGTGAATAATAGATAACTTTTAGAGGACGTATTATGTGAAACAACAGACAATTGAATTTCCCTTTGGGGATTAATAAAGTTCTTCTTATCTTATCATACATACACAATCACTGTACACAACTACAAATTACATGTTACAGATGCACAAACCTTTTGCACCAAAAACACCTTCATAAAAGAAAACCAGAGAAAGGGAGTAAACGTCTCGACTCTGTGTTTAAATGTTGATGGAAAGTATGACTCTGAGTCCTCCATGTGTTGGGAGTCTCAGTGCAGACCTCCACTCTTCTCTCTCTGCCACCTCATGACACAACTGCAACACTGATGGTTGAGCTGCAACGCCTCAAGGGGCATTAATGAATCTTGCTAAGTATGTACATATAAATGCTCCAGGCTCAAACTTGGTGAGGCTTCTGAATGCAGTCGAAACCAGTCTGTCAGACCACTGCTGCCATCTAGTGGCCTAAACTGTGTACTGAGGGCTGAAACTTGCACTACAACCTTATTTCTTGCAGTTTTTTCAAATATTTGCTAAAGCAGAGAAAAAAAATCTTACATGAATACAGGTAAACCCACCTGCCAGCAGTTTAGGGTACTTCTGGTGGACCATGTTGGTGAGGTCTCCTCCATCGTCCAGGATCATGTTAAGGGGCTGACCGTCTTTGAAGTACAGTGTCTGCTCAATGCACCACACGTACTCCTCGTCTGTCTCACCTTTCCAGGCGTACACTGCAAAGACAGGCAGCAGTCAGAGAAAAATACTGGAACAGAGCAAGACTGTTGGTGGAAGTATGACTCTGAGTCCTCCATGTGTTGGAGTCTCAGTGCAGACCTCCACTCTTCTCTCTCTGCCACCTCATGACCCAGCTGCAACACTGATGGTTGAGCTGCAACGCCTCAAGGGGCATCAGGCCATCTTCCTTTTGGCACATCTGGTGAGGGTGGAGCATGCAAAAGGGTCTGTCCACATGTGGGGTCGGTGGATACTCTAGACACCCAAGTGTTAGAGCAATGTGTTACCTGGAATGCCGGCCTTGGCAATGGCAGCAGCAGAGTGATCCTGAGTGGAGAAGATGTTGCAGCTGGACCACTGAACCTGAGAAGGCAAAGGTCAGATAGTTTACAACACGTCATTTCATACTCTATATGAACTGCAAGGTTCTCTTACAGGCAGTCAAGGTCACCTCAGCTCCCAGGGCAGTGAGAGTCTCAATCAGCACAGCGGTCTGCAGGGTCATGTGAAGACATCCAGCGATACGAGCACCCTTCAGAGGTTTGCTTGGGCCGTACATTTCCCTCATCTTCATGAGCCCGGGCATCTCGTTCTCTGCGATATCAATGGCCTTACGACCCCATTCGGCCAGGCTGATATCAGCTGGAGGAGAGAAAATAAGCAGAACCTGTACATTTCTGCAGAACCTTCTGATCATGCACGCATTTAAAACCAAATGTCTCCAGAATTAAAGGAGCTTCAATACTTTTAAATCTGCGATCAGTTTGTGCTCTGAACTCAAGGGGTGGTGTTGATCATTGATTATTGGAGTTTGTTTCTCTTACAGTGAGAGGAAGCAGAGAGTAACATCACCAACCCAAAGCAGGTCACGTCATTCTTCAGGACCAATATAAATCCTGGCAGGCAGGTTCACAGAAAACAAAGCTAAAAAAGGCTTTTAGGTGGTCACAGTCTGCGTTCCAAAAACTTGCAGAGAAGTTGGGATCCAGTCTACCAAAACACAGAGCTCATGTGTGTCCATATGTTTGTGTTTGACAGCTGTGGAGCAGGAGGGAGAGGAGCTGCAGCTGCTGTACTAAAACATTCCGACCTCAGCAGAGTGACTTCAACAGGGGGAACATTTAGGCACTAATATTTACCCATGAAGGAGCACAAAGTCCTCCAACAGGTTTCACTTTAAAACCTGCACGTATCCGTTATTTTACCTTATATTTTCTTCATGTTACATTTTTGTGAGACCAACGATAACGAGCAGACCAAAAGTCTGAACATACATGCTCCTAGATTACTAAAACCAGAACCAAACTAACTGAGCATATACACCCCTTCAGCATTTTCCACTAACTCATGCAAACAGTTCTTTTATGCAGCACAGGTATCCTGTTGAAGTTTCTGTGGTTCCTCATTATTTTGGCATTTTACATGTGCTGGTTGTTTATTGTTGCAATGAGCTGATGTTTGCAGATGGAGTTTAAAACCCACCTGTTCATGCAGGTGTTTGAAAGCGTTCCCAGGATTACTGCTTTTATCTGGACCCCTGGGACCGTCTCAGCCCTCATATCAAAAACCGTCTGTAGGTCATGTCCATATGAGAACACAATGTGACATTCTCATCTGTGATGAGCACTTTAGAGAAGTTTGGCTCTTGTATTTACTTTTAAACATCACACAATGATCCATTTGTCCTTATTATTTATACTACTTAACTTTTGGGATTCTGAGTTGAATTCTTTTGCATTTACTGAAAACTTTAAAATAAAGCATTTAAAAAAAGGAATAATTCTAAATAATTTCATATAAACTAGATTTTTTTGTCATCATACAGCACCACTGTACTCTCTCCATATACCCCTTCCTGCGTTTTTAACTTTATATTAAGGAGGTGATGACTGAACACAGTAAATTCAATATCATGAGCAAACAGACTGACTGGACTGAGATTGATGCAGCAGAGCGAAATCATTCATAGAAGAGAGAAATTAAAGAGTCATTTGGTTTTTAACTCCCTGCAGCGATGAGTTATCTACAGAGTTTACTTAGTTCCTCCTCACAGAGAGACTAATATAAGGAACAAACTCGGTTTTAAAGAGGGGAGGCAGTCTGAGCTACTTTCAGGACGCGGTCAGGATGCAGGGCGTCGTCCCAAAGTACAATCCTCCACCATGAACCGGTTCTACTCCTGAACCTGCAGGCTGTGCAAATACTCCTGAGTCCAGAGAACCGCTCTGAACCAGAACTAAGCTGAGTGAACCTGCTGCAGGGGAATTACAAAGTTCACCAAGGTCAGGACAGTGACTCAGTCCAGAAACTGCTGTTAGGTGGAGTGAGTGAGGGTCAAACCAGTCAGAGACCACCTTTAATACACAGGTCATCATGGAGAGTTTTTTAAGTGCAACTGCTGTGTGTCTCCACACCTTCACAACTGTCATAATTATATATGTATTATAACAGGATAAAACCTGGATTGTAAAGATAACTGTACTGTCTACTTATGGCAAGCAAAAAGAAGAAAATTCAACTTGGTCTGCAAACATGCCATTAAATCACAAGGTAACACACAGCACAAAAAGACAAACTTGGTAAACTTAAAATATTCCTAATTTAAAAAAAAACATTAGAATAAAGCCACGTCAACCAGGGCTACCAGGTTATAATATAAAATGCTCTGTGGCAGGTTAGCAAATTAACTTCTGGCAGGTGCTGAAAGTGGAAATGTCAGGCTCTGAAATGTCAGAGGTCCAAATGTTTGTGCTAAAATCGCTAAAAATACCTTTGGTGAGTTTTTCCTGATTTTTACTGCTCATGCAGCGTCTTTCTCTCGCCCTCTCTCGCTCTCTTGCTCCTCTGCTGTCTGCATGTCGGATTTTCACACGAACACCTCAATCTACAATTTTCTACATAATGACAGAAGGATTGACCAAAGGAACATCTTAGATTTGTTTCCTCCAGAAAGATGATGAAATCTATGCTGGAATAACAAGTGCACGATGTTTAGAGGAAACCACGGTTTGAGTCTATACAGCACAAACTGATCCGGGGTAAAATGAAGTCTTTCTCAGTATGTTCAAGGGGACTTTTTAAAGAGGTCATTGTAACTACAGTCCCAGTAGCTTACGGGACAAAACGGGCCATGAATGCTGTATGCGGTGCACTCCTGTTTTTTGGAATATGTGGAGTTAAATGATCTTAAACTCTGCAGATGAGTGTGCATCTCCACCAACCCAAAAGAGCTAAAAATCATCATGGTACAATTGCATGTGCGTACACACTCCTACAGTTGACGTTATCTTAAACTTCACTTGACAAGCTGCTACTCGAAGTGTAATGATTGACCAGCAGAGGGAAAAAGAAGTATTGGCACAGATATTCCTTATCAATGATTTAGGCATCACCCGGCTACATCAGAAAGCTTGAAATTCTACACATTAACCCCCGAGGTTAAAATGCAGTAAGGGAACAACAGTTTGATTTTAGGACTGTAGCAGAAGTTTAAGTCCATGTTACATATTAATTAGTCTGCAGATTATAACCTGACCAAGCATTGAGAAAATGCTTTCGTAAAATCAAGCATGACATAAGTGTTCATCTGCAGAAGATCAGAAACATATGCTGTAAAATATACAATATGATCAGAATAAGGTTGGTGAAAGAAGAGCCGTTAATTTACAGACCAATGATGCATTGATTGACTGCCTAAGGTAAATGAGTGATTCTGCATCAATTAACAAGTCAGGTAGGACCTAACAGTCGATCCCTCAGCTGAACTCTACACACTTTAAGGGAGACCCTGTGGACTTTGACCCAAAGTTATCTGTGTGCTGACCATTGTGCAACTTATTCTGCTTCGAACCAGCTACAAACCAACGCATACAAGCATGTGGAAAGGTTTAACAGTTACTCAAACAGTTTTTGCAAACTGTTCAAAAATATGCATGCATGTCCTAATTTTTTAATTTCTTATCTTTAATATGAGGCAGCACCGCAAATGCCCCCTTAACATTATTTAAAGGCTTGAAAGCTTTTCTGTATCTTTACCAAAAGAACTCAGCAATAAAAGACGGTCTGATTTTCTAAGCTTAACATTTAAAATTCTTAAGTTAAAATATTTAAACACTGGTGGCTTTCGCGCGGAGGACCACGTGTAGCCCCAGCACTGAAACAATATTCAGGCTACGTACAGTGCAGCTCTGTCTGCCTGCTCCTGTCACTCATACTTAAACTGAATGCGAGTTACAAGCATCATGGGAATTGTAGTTTACAAACACAAGTCGCCTTGCAAAACACCAAGCCAACGGCTCAGCTAAAAAAACTACAACACCCAGAGGCCATGGATATCATCTCCGCTCGGAAAGTAGCTCATGCTCGACGCCAGTATGACTGCAACATGTCGATTCATTCATAGATGAGAGCTAATTCTGACCCACGAGCCTAGATAAGTCAATTTTTTTGAAGAAGAACGCGTTAACAGACTTGGGGGATACCAAATATGTTGAATAACAACAATAACGACGCCACAAACTTAACGGTCGCACCATCTTTCAGTTAACCGCCATCCAGCCCACCTCGTTATTAGCTCTGTTAACGTTAAATCTTTGTCACACTGACCGACTTTGAAGGGCAGTTTCTCAGACATGGTTGTTTTCTGGTGTTGTGTCCCGGGGAGCTTGAGTTCAGCGGTAACCAGACCGACAGACAGAGTCAAAGAGGGAGGGACGGAAACATGACTGCTCGGTTTATATGGGCCGAACTCATTCAAACCAGTACACACGTTGGGGCGGTACAATCGAGGATCTGTTCTGGATTTCTATTGGCTGTAGCAGCTCCCGCCCCATAATCCAGTAGTCTTATTGGACGTCGGATGTTATTACAAAACTGGCCAATGATAGAGTGACCTGCCGTGTGGGCGGGCCTTAACTCTTAATGGTAACTCTGTGGTATTACATGGGCATAGTCTATGGTATCAACTGTCCGAATCTGGTGAAGGGTAAAACTGACCACTCTGTTGTTTTTAATCAACATTATCATCACAGAACTATGGAGAACTATGTTTTTTTCTGAATGAGTGTCATAATTATGAAAGAGGATTAGGGCCACAAGTAGAGACAAAAAATAATTTCAAGAGGGAGATTTTTTTAATTTCCATTTCGAGATTAAAGTCGAAATTTCAAGATTCATTAAAGTCGACATTTTTAGAGGTCGAGATTTAAAGAGTCGACTACAACTAAAAGATTTCAGAATTAATTAGGTAATTATCTCTGAAAAATCTTGATAAAAACAAATTTTACTTTCTTTATGAATGCCAAATTAATCTCATTATGACAAGATCACTTTCTTTATGTTAGTAACGAGCCCAGAAGAGTTTATACACTATAGTGCTGTTCTTATTTGCCTTTAAACACACCATGGCGTCGCCGGAGAAAATCAATGAAGAAGCTTTAAAGTACTGCAGAAATAAACTCAAAGAAAAAAAACAATGAAGTTCAGAGACTTTTAAACTTTCAAAGGTAAATAAACATAATGATGACCTTTGCATAAAACTATTCATTTATAGTATTACATCGTTTGACACATAAACTACAGTGGGAGGAACACAACTTTAAAAAGGGTAATAGACCACGTGAACTATGAATAGCCATTACCCAACCTGAGCTCTGACCCCGGCCTTGGCCTTTGCTCCAGTATTTTATCCACCCTGGACTTCGTCTTGGTCTCACTGAGGGTGGAGGTCCTCTAACAACCCCTTTCACAACTTTATGATTGCTGACCAGTAATGTTTGAAGACAGTAATCAATCACTCAAAAGTGGAGTAAAAAAAAAAAAAAGATTTAGAAAAGTTTTTTTCTAACCTTTAAGGTCAAAGACAAACGAGGCCTTGAAGTCCGGAGAACCTTAGGCTATGGGGTGTTTTTATCTGCAGAATTTGCAGAGAGGGAGAAACTCTGTTATGATCCACTGCACATCCAACTCTGTCAGGTTGTATGCATGTATTCAATAACTGAATCAACATAACTGGTTTGCTGTATTAAGCATTGATCAATTATATTTATTTATATGTAAATTCTGTAAACGTGTATACATATTCTGTGTATATAGTCATACATATAATATCTCAATTTTTCCAACTGTGATAAATCCAAAACTGCACATAACAGCTGTAAATAACATTCATGTGTATATCTTTTTTAACTCTTAAGTTTCTTCATCCTTTAATTTCTCTTTTTGTATTCATGTTGCTGTAAACTTGGAATTTCCCTCTGTGGGATTAATAAGGGAATATATAATCTTATTAAACCCACCCTCACGTTAACCTCAATGCTTTGGTTTGTCTTATTCCTCCTTATTCTGATGAGGAGATGCTGCACAGTGAAGACTCTAATCTTCAGATGTTGCCTGATTTACCTCAAGATTTTCACTTCAGGTTCACTTTCTATCTGCAGAAATAAAAAACCATGAGAGTTGGATTGAGCTGCCAATTCAGGGAGAAATGTAAGAAGAACTTTTGTCACAAAAGCAGAATCAAAAGTGCAAAAACAACATTTAACCCTGTTGTTATGAACTCCAATTAACAGGCTGACTTTCCTCGAACAGAAAATCAATACTCTTCCACAGAAATGAGCAGAAACATGAGAATTATTCATGTTTGTTTTATTGAAAGACTCCAGTCGTGTTTCAATACAATCTTAACCATTTGTTATATGAACTGAAAACCTGCCATGCATAACCCTGTCTGCAGACAGGAGGAGGGGAGTGGAGCTAAAAGAATAAACGAGGCTACAGTGAGCAAATAAATTTCACTTGATTATGAAGACCAAACTGTCTTTCTAAGTCTGTCCACATCTGAATTACTCTGTCCCTACAGGTGATTCCAGAGCAGAAGGGAGGAAACGAAAATCCAGCTCCCCCTCTCAGGGTGACTAAATATTCACAAGAGGTCTCTGTGTCCAAAGGCTGAAAAACACACTCACACACACACACACACACACACACACACACACACACGTCATAAAGTCAGACCATGTGGGACTCTCTCAGAGGACGTCACTGTTCGACTACAGCATGAAGGTGGAGCTCTGAGGTGGAGGTAGATGGACTCTGAGGCCCAAAAACATAAAATATGAGAAAATTTTTACTTATGAAACAAAAGAAAGAAAATTTGGTTCAAAAAAGAGCTAATCTCTCTGTCATTTTAGAATCAGACTGAAATAAATCAGTTGATGTACCAGGGAGGGGCTGCCTGAACTTTGCAGAGCTGATGTGTAAAAGTGTCATCAGGCAGAAACATCTCACAAAGCTTCAAGCTGATTCGCTTGTTTCTGAAAATGAGCGGGCCAATCACCTTCATTTGTGGAGGTTACTGCATTCATGGTTAAGAGTCAGAGACTGTGAGCTTGTAAACAACTGAGAGTTTTTTTGCATAAACAGCAGGAGGTCTTCCTGGGCAGTGCACGCCTACTCTGTCAAGGGTTTTGTTTGGTTTGAATTAATGTGGCAGACAGAAGCTTCATTCAGCTGTCCTGTAGAGTCAAAACCCTCTGCTCCTGATCAAAGCAGGACCAACAGGAAACCAGTTTGGTATCACACATGATCAGGCTGTTGAGCCCGACTCCCTACAGAGGTAGAGGGTCAAAGATTAAAGTTGGACGGAGGATGTGCCTGTTTGATTGACTGATTGGGTTTCTACATTGTCGCCCTCTCTGGCCAGTACCAGAATTACAGGTCTGCTCCAGGAACTCTGATAGTTTGATAAATGTTAGGCTGCGATATGACTCATGTTATGTGTCTAAAGCTCCTGTATGGATATTTTTGAAAACGTGGCTCTTGCCCTTTTTCCCTGAACTTCCACAGCTAACTATTCTGTATTATGTATTTCCTGTCCACACCGTCCCTGCTGCACGAACAGATGGAGTCAGCTGCAGCAGAGATTCTACTGAAGTACAAATGAAGCTCAGGCCGCACAATGATCTACTGACTGTTTTCTGACTGTTTCATTGCCTTCAGATGAGCCGGTTAGACTGGTTAGAGATGAGTCATGTTGGAGCATTTGTAGCTGCAGAAAAAGGAGCTTTAATTAAAGCATCACAGTTGTCTTACACTGAATTGAATCAACGTTTCCCACTGAGGTCCTTTTTTTCCCTTTTTGTCAAATTTTAGAGGTGTGTGTCAGTAAAGCAGAGGGAGAGTGTTTTTGAGGATCTGCCACTGTTTTTAGGTCTGAAATTGGAGGTGTGTTGTTGTTGTTGTTGTTGGGATTTCTTCTGTCTGATTAAATAAAGATCTCTTTATTGAAAATATTCTTCCCTTGGTTTTTGATTTTTTCCACCTTTTTACTTCAGAGCTCCTCCTCACAGGATGTTTCTGTAAAACTTCATATTTTTTAAGGTAAACGGTAACGCTTCAATCAGACAATCCCACATTTTGATTTTCCTGCAGCAGAGTTTTTGCAGAGCCGCTGTTGACGATCGGACGTCGCCGTCATCGTAGAAGAGCAGAGAGATGAAGACGCAGGAAGCAGGAAAATGGCGGGGTCATCTTGTCTTTCTGGTTTTAAATTTTTCTCAAACATTTGTTGATTCTTCACATTCCTCCTGGAAACAAGCCTTCCCCTGCTCCTCCACAACCCCGCCCTGGAAGTATGCACTTGCACTCTTTGGACTTCGGTGCTGGTTGGTGCTCTCTGACAGAGGCTGTGAGGGTCTGACTTTGACCCTTTCAATCGAAGGAGTGTGCAACTGCAGCAGACACTCCTACAGTGACACTCTAACATGAACAGATGGAGCAGCTTGAGCGTGTTTGATCCTCCCTTGTCGATTTGTGAGCAGGTGCATACTTCAGGGTTGGGGCGGGGTCAGGTGTCGGGTCGTAGGCTTTGAGACGGAGCAGCATGCCAGCAGCCCAGAGTCCCTGTCTCTCTTCCAGATGTCTGAGAGCAGCCTGGTAGCACAGAGACAGATTAAAGAGGGGCGCTGGATAGCTAGCAGGGCGTGCTAGCTTAGTTAGCCGCCCAGGCCTCCAGATCCGCCATGTCGTCCTCGTCTTCCTCCTCCTTCTTTTTGGCTAGAAATGAAGAAAAAAAACAGAAATAAAACCTGAATAATCATCTTAAAGCTGATATTTAAAGGGATTGAGAGGTACACAAGGGTCAAAGGGACATGGAGTACCTGGTCTGGATGGTAGTGATGTAGACGGTACGCTTGGTAGAGGAACGTCTGCTGTTCCTTCGATTTCCAGAAGATTCTGATCAAGCTCTTCCTGTTCCAGCTCCTCTAGCTCAGCCATCAGCTCATCCTGCACAAACAAACCAGAAACAGTCAGAAACACCTCTGTGTGTGAGCGGACTTGAGGGCTGAAACAGTCGCTCAGATACACCATGGACCTTTATTTGAGTGTTAAAGACAAACCTGAGACATGAGAGTGAGCAGAGTTAGTGAGGCAGCGTCTGTGATGGAGGGCAGAGGAGACTGACACACAAACTAACCTGGAAGCTTTCAGCTCTTTAGAGGAGTGGGGTGGATGTGTCTCTGAGCTCTTCACAGTGTAAATGAAATTTTTTTTACAGACTTTGGGACTTTTTAATACTCTGGAGCGTAAAGATGACTTTGTAAATCAGCTCTCATTTTTGACAACCTTAGCTGTGAGCATGAAGGTTCAGGTTCCAGTTTGGTGTTCAGGTAGAGGTAAACAACTTGTAGTCAGTGGTTACACTGAGTGATTGGGGGGTGAAAATCACAAGCTTTAACAGTAAATCTGCTCAAGTTAATGAAGCTCTGCAAACACAAACCTCTGATACATACTCAGACAGCTGATCATGTTCTATTCAGTTTTACTCTGTTCGCTCTCACCTCGTCAAACTCTTCTCCAAAACCAACAGGTTTAGAAATGACATCTGAGATTTCCTGAGCCACTTCCTGCTGTTCTGTGATTTCTGCCATCAGATCGTCCACTTTGTTTATGTCCCTGTGAGATGAGCAGACACATGCATGAAAGAAATGATGAAGAGATAAGTGTCCATTTAAAGACAATAAGACTCAAGAACCGGTTCCTGAGAGTCTCTCTTACATGTCCTCGTGAGCCGCCTTCATGGCCTTGGCAGCATAGCCCATATTCTTCAGCACTTCCGTGTTGGTGTTGGCGTTCTCTAGCGCCTCTCTCTGGAACTCAATGGTGGATAGCGTACCGTCAATCTGAGCCAGCTGCTTTTCGTAACGTTTTTTCCTCTTCAGAGCCTGCAGAGCCGCTGAAACACAGAGAGAGCACCAATGCCAGCTCAGAAGATAAATAACACCTAAAAACTAAACTCTGGTAAAACTCCTGAGTCTCTACACGTGTAAATGTTTCAGTCATCATTTCCAAGAAGAAAAAAAGTTGGATTCAAATAATCAGAATGTAACAAGAATAAAGTCATCAATATTTCTGATAAACATTTACAGAATTAACCCTGAAATAGAAGTTATCAGAGTCAAACATTTAAAAACAAACTCTTGATTATGAAACAAGAACAATTATTCTTTTTGGTCAAGAAACGCAAAGAAAGTGTTTTAAAGTTAATCAAGTCTTGATATTTCAGATATCATAAATGCATAATAAAAAAATATGTACCATATCAAATATCATAAATATTCAGATGAAAGCTGTAAATCAAAAAAGTTCAATACTGTGTACGAGAGAAAAGCACTGCTCTATTTACATTTACCATTATTACTCTTGAAAAACATATTATATAGATATTAAACAAATAATTCAAAAGTTTCAGCCCATTAAAAAGTTCAGCACAAGATTTGTGAAACTAAAAGTTCTCTTTAAGGCAAAAGTGTCTGACTGAAAGATATTTAAGATGTGAAATAAACACAAAAAAATATCACTTTGTAACAGGAAACACTGGAAATTTAGAATAACAATAAAAATAATAATTATTATTTTTATGATAATACGTCCTTATGAATCTTTGCCAGTCATTCTGTCAATCTTCAAACTAACTGAATCACTAAATTGTATTTGACACTGACTGTGTGGATGATAATCTCCATGTTTGTTCTGAGTCTGGTTTGTGTTTTATGTGGTCTCCTGATGTGGGTCTGTGTCCACAGAGAGTGACGTTTACACCAAAACAGAGGAAATCCCCCTGAGGTGGACTTGGGAAATCAGCTCATGAAGAGAACTGCTGATATGAACCTGCTGAGTCATACTCATAATCACAGACCTGTTCATTCAGAGTGGGGGGTTAAACACAGACCTGTTACAGGGTTGGGCGGCTCTAAAAGGCTTTGACAATATCTACGTTTGGATGCATGAGTTTACTGAGGTCACTTGGACATGGACGCCTGGATGGACCAAGTTATGATGAGCACCCTCTGCTGGGTGATACAGCAGACTCCTTTGGGTGGCCTGATGCTTCAGTTTATTGTAAAGCTCATTAACTTTAAACTGGTTAAAAACTCCTTATAGGGCCTTTGAAAAACCCAATCCTTCACCTCTAGCCAGTCCTGGATGTCTTTGTAAATCCACCAAAAACACAGTAAAACAGAGTTTCAGGGCTCTGCACACACGTGAACACAAACTGACTGTTATCATCCTCCTGCATGTGGTAGGTCTGGTCTACAGCAGCCAGACTACAGCTCTCAGATCCATCTCATCTGATTACATCAGCACTCAGGTCTATTCCTGGATGATAACATTGTTACCAAGCGTCACACCAACCATGATCAGGTTATTATCCAGGTCCACAGAGTCCCTGTAATTCTGTTAGTCCTTTTCTGCCCTCCTAAGCTCTACTCCTGTGACTGCGATCAGGACTTTTGCACATTTACGGGAATGTTCACTTTTCTCTTCTGTTCGGTTCCTGCCATCAACTCCTTATGACTGAAAACTTCCTTTTCATAGTTTACGGTCTAATCAGCAGTTTAGTATCATCAGTCCAACAACAACGACACTGATCCATGTCTGGGCTCACTGCATCTCTTTAAGGGTGAACACGGACCTGTTTCTGCTGAGTCTCAGTTTGTCTGTAAAGAGAAGAAGCTTCACTTAGGCTTTTCTCTGCTGTGTGAAAGTGTTCACAGAGGCCTCGCTCTGGTTTAGTCTGTCTTCATCTGCACCAAGCAGAAAACACAGAGCCTGATATCAAGTTAGGTTTGGTATGTTTGCTGAGAAGTATCTAAAGACTGTGTGTTCACTCATTCCCCTCCAGCTGCAAGAAGGTAAGGAGAGGAGAAATGTTGAAAATCGGGTTTCATTGTGAGTAAGTGCTGTACTGTGTTACAAGAAACAGAACTTTTTTAAAACCAGTTTTAAAGGAGCAGACAGGTGATCTGAGAGCATTTGTGGTCGTATCACAGATCCCTGAAACCTCAGCTGGCTGAGTGTGAGTAGTTATTCTAACAATACTTCACATGCTCATCATAAATACTTGGATCAGAGCAGTGTGTTCATAAACCCAGTTACACCAGTGTTTAACAAGAATGATGTCTGTTTTTAAAATATTTAAATTTGGATGGTGATAACAATAATCTAGGGCGGAGTCCGTTTACAGCAGGGGTCCACAGAAAGACCACAGACTGTTCTCTATAGTTAACCTGTCTATGTCTAACCAGCTGATCCCGTGAAGCTACATCCTTCAAACTGTATCTAACGTTAACAGGAACTCTGTGCTGGGGTCACACCCCTCTAAATACATGATCAGGTTGTATTCATCACAGTTCTGTTTGATTATCATCTGCAATATCTACAGGCAGGTTAATTAAGTGACTGGTGGTCGCTCACAAAATGCGTTAGTGACTGTCAGCTGAGTGTCTGTGATACAGCTCTGAAGCAGAAGAAGCTTCACCTGCACTCACCTGAACACACAGGTCACTAAAGACACACTGCTGTCTAGATTCACAAGAAGCTGCACTTGGACCATCTTTTCCACCTTTGTATGATCACCGCTCATCCCTCATTCATACCTGATTATCTCGTTGGGAGTTATACAGGGCCTGTTCCAGCACGCATCAGCAAAGAGGCAGTTATTACCTGAGCTCCTCCCTGGATCCTCACAAAGCAAACAGCTGTGTGAACCTTGAGGTTTCTCTCAACTGGAAAAAGTGGCGTTAGCTGCTGATTTTCACGGTTTGTGTCAGTAATTTGAGTGCTTAAGTAAAAGGTTTCTGAGAGGAACTTTTCTGCCTCGGCTCTGCTGCAGTATCATCATTGATTGCTCCTGGTGAGTTTCAGTCATATGACTATAATTACGGCACATCTCTCACTGCACTGCTCCATGCTCCAGCTGACACAGGCTGCTGATCTACCAAAACCATCATGAAATCTATACGTGAGGACTGTCGGAGTGTGTGGTTGTCTGTGTACTGAACTTTCTATCTGTTTTATGTTTAATCTTCAGATTAAGCTCAGCTCATCAGCTCTGAGGCTAACAGCATTATAGCAGAGACACAGCCCTCACAAATCTCATCAATTCAACAAATGCCACATTATCTCTCCCCTGGAAACTGCCGGGCCATCCCTGCAGTTCTGGTTTCCTTCTGTGAGATTTACTGAGCAAATAGACCTCAACATTTCTGTAAAGACGAGGATTACAAAAAAAGGTCCAGTATATGTTTATTATTGTTATTATTATTTTAAGAAAAAAGTCAGAGTTCTGTCATCAACATGTTTCTAAAAAAGTTGTCAGAGTTACAGAAAAAAAAAACAAGACTGAATGATCATGACCTTTAGGCCTTCAGGCAGCACTGTAGTAAAAACAGACAGGGCTCGGGAGTGGAAATCACCGCATGGACTCAGAATCACTGTGAAAACCATCATCTGTGGGTGTGAACACAGTTCGGTACTGCATCCACTAATGAGGTTCAAACTGAACCATGACAGAGGAGACCAGATAGAATTAGGATCCAGAAACACCAGAGACTTCTCTGGACCTGAAACCAGTTAAGATGGACCTCCTTTTTATAGAAGCTGCAAATTGGACAATCTTTAAGGAAACCATGGGTGCTCAGTTAAGGCGCTATCATTGCTGAACAATTTGTTTTGAAGCAACATCCGAACCACATTCTGCAGGGATTACAACAGCATGGCTCTGTAGGAGAAGAGTCCTGCTAAGAAACTGGACTGATGCAGTCCTGACTTGTCCCCCAGTGAAAATATTTGTAGCATCATGACCCAAAAACAAGACCAAAGAGACCCTGAAGTGTTGAGCAGCTGAAATCCTCTATCAGGCAAGAATGGGACAACATTTCACAGAACCTGGTCTGCTGGGTCCACTAAGTACTACAGAGAGTTGGTGAAAGAAGAGGTGAGAACTCATGATGAGGAACAAGAACCTGGAACTACTTTTTACAAACATGTTGAACTGAGCAAATAGATGTTCCTTGGATCAAAAACACTTCTTAAAGGTTTTACAAACACATGAGTTATCTTTGATGAACTAAACTTACTCTGTGGGTTTACAGCTCCCTGACAGACTGGAGTCTTGAATAATGACAGGGATATATAGTATGTAAAGCTCTTTCTCTCTCTCTGTCTGTCACTTCCTCCACGTCAGGTTGAACTCTTTTTTAGTTTTTTTTATTATTATTATTATTTGACTCTATGCTGTCCTAACGTGTAAACTATCAGTCAGCTGCTCTTAAAATAGCTCTGTGAATGTCAGACGGTGGTAGGGGCAGTCTCAGATTGACTAACCCTTTAAACAGAACCCTTCAGGTCTTTTCCTCATGAGTTAGCTTCCATGCTAACTCTCTAACTAACTCTCTGACTAACTCCCGGACTAACCCTTTAAACCCCACCCTTCAGGCCTCTGTCTCTCACCTCGTTTGTTTTTAGTGCCGTTTTTCTTCGCGGTCAGCAGCTCCTGGTCAATCTTCTTCTCTAAAAAGTCCTGTTTCTTGGCCAGCATCTCCTCGGTCTCTCGGAGTTTCTGGATCGCCTCCTGGGCTGTGGGAGCTTTCCCACCTTTACCTCCGCTGCCGAATAACTTACCGATTAAACCCGACATTTTCCGATTAAATGTGAACAGTCACAGGTAAATTAGCCGTGAACACAACGTCAATGTGGTTAATCGATCAGGTAATAGTTAAATTTGATCCGTCCTCTCTCTAACTATCGTCGCAGAGCTACTGTTACTGCTGCTCTTGTTGTTTGTGTGTCCTCTTCCGCCTTTCCAGCCAGGCCCCGTGATGTCATTACGTCAGCGCTGTCACGTCGCTCATGCGTGCGGGGAATTTACATGACTCAGTGTTTCCGGAGTGACAGTCTCACCGAAAACGGTTTAGTGCCTTACAACTAATAACTTCAATTTATCCAGTGGAGCAGGCAGTTCTGATGTTAAAACATGTTGTTTGGGAATAACAAAACATGAGACAGCGTTTTTAATGTTTTAATGTTTTTAAATTTAAGATGAAGAGCAATTCTCCAAAGTAATTATTTGGCTTACCTGTGAAACTAAGGAAAAAGAACATAATGGTAATTATACCAAGAAATCAAAGGTATTCCGATGGTCTGTTAATTTTATATTAGAAATGTTATGTTCATAAATATAAACAGACCCCCAAATACTGTAAAATGCAACTTTAAAAAATGTTATCTGTTACGGCTGTGTGTTTGTTTTGTGTGTGTTTTTCCCCTTTTGTCTCTCCATAGCTGCCCAGGTGAAAACACTGAGTGCTAATCAGACTCACCTGGTGCTGGGCCTTTATTAAAGACTGAGAGCTGCCTGCAGTCTGGAGGGGAATTTGGTGGGGAACTGCTGCCCTGCTGCCTCTCATTTGTGTTGTGGGTGCTTTGTGTCTAGTTTGCAATTTTGTTATTTTGTCACAATAAATCACGTGTTAAACTTTTGAAGGTGTTTTGTTAATTTGATGGGTAAAAAGTTGAGGATTGTTGTTGGCTCCATAGGGCCGCCTTCAGGTGGGGCATAACATATCATATGCAAACTCTACATAAGCTCATGAATAAAACAGCAGAGAAAACAGTAATTATCTATTAATATGAATTTTTAAAAGGTAGCCTACTTCAGTTTGTTTTGTCTGTGTATAATAATAATAATAATAATAATAATAATAATTATTATTATTATTATTATTATTATTATTATTATTATTATTATTATTATTATTATTATTATTATTATTATTATTTTACTAATGTGAGAGAGAAGGGCTGATAAAATTGTTGCTTCCAAGCTGTTATGTTGATATGTTGACATGATGCCTTTGCAAACATAATATAAGGTAATGTGTTATCACTACTTATTAGCTGGAAACTTTGAGACTTGTTTTCCAACACTGTCAACCAGATATAAAGTCACTCTAGCAGCTCCATCATCCACTATCAGGGGTTAACTAGCTTTTAGGAACTTTTGATGAACTTTTCTCTCTCCCAAAAAACAGAAAAAAATTCACTCTGTGCCACAGAGGCGTCGTGTTCTAGCTGCTTCTGGGTGGTCCACACTGTTTGAATCATGAGTTTTGCACACAGGGCTGACCTGACTTACAAATGGGCAGGTATGCAAATATTGGTCAAATTTAATAGTTGAATTTGCAAAATACAGAGAGATACAACCCAAACAGAAGAAGAGAGCCAGGGGGATAAAATAGCGTCAACTTTTCTGACCTGATGAATTACTGAACAGCTGGAAAACATTTCAGAGATAGAGAGGGATTACATTCAAAAGCTACAACACGTGTCTTTAAAAAACAGCTGGGAATGTAATGATTAATGTTCGGCATAAAACATTCAGGACCACAAAATAAAAGTCAACAGCCATGAGGATAAAGAGGCTAAAAGCTGCTCTGATACACACTGACACGTTCTGAGGATATATGATCCCCAAGCGCTGAGCTCAGATGCAAGCGTTGAGTGGCCAGTCCAGCTCCTTCAGAAAACTACGTCTCCCATGATGCACCATGCCATACTTTTCTAATTGAAGATGAGGGTGAGCAGAACGCCATCCGATGAACCCTTGAGTGGTCTGAGGGACCGGAGGAGAGGGACCAACCTAGAGGGAGGAATCAGTCAGTGTCTTTGAGGCTATGACAGAAAGGTGGGTCAGGAGGTAAAATGACATCATACCTGCTCCTGTTTCTCTGGAGGGGTCAGAGGTCGTGATGCGTGGTGACGAGGAGGCTCCACTCTTGATTTCTCCTTAAGTTTTACACTTTCTCTCTCATGCTGAAATGGGGAAAATGCAAAGTCATGAAATAATCAGAGCTCCTTTTCTGCATGTTTTTTTTCTTTTCCCTGTAGGGATACACTAGAGGGCGCTGTGACTCAGTATTCCACCTCCTGTTCCTGCTTCAGTCACACATGCCTCATGGTTTCTCCCTGTCCCCTTAACTTATACTGTGATTTCAGTCAATCTTCTGCAGTTGTCTCTGCTGTTGTGTATTCGACAGCATTATGGCGTATTACCTCATAGTTAACGTGAGTGTTGTTGTTTTGGACCCTCGTCATTAATTGTAGACTTTAGCATGTGTCTCTGATTTTGTTTTATTTACGGTTTTCAACCGTGTTTCTCTTTCTGAAGATTGCCTGAGCCTCTGCAGATTCCAGCCCTCGTCAGCCACCGTAGTTGGGGCATTTCAAGATATGGCGTCCGCTGTAGTTATAACGTATATAACAGTCACACTTGAAAACTGCACCTTAAAACAAGCTCATGTGTAAATCCACACTACAGAGCCTACAAAGCCTTATATAGTTATCTGTCCTGTGCTTAACTGCTAATTCTGTCTGCAAGCTAGGGGAGAATATTTCTGTACTGTTAAAGAGGTTGTGTGTGTGTGTGTGTGTGTGTGTGTGTGTGTGTGTGTGTGTGTGTGTGTGTGTGTGTGTGTGTGTGTGTGTGTGTGTGTGTTACCTCCTTGTAAACCTCAGTCAGGAAGCCCCACTTGCTGGGCCAGACCTTGGCTGAATCCTTTTCAGCTTTAATGTGGGCTTTCCTGTAAAAACAGTAATACTCATTAATACAGCATTCATCAAACCACATGTAATAAAGAGCTTCACAAACACCACAAAACTTTCAACAAATGCTTAATTAATTAAATAACAACTCTGATGGTTTTCAAATATGAAGGTCTTCCCTGAAAAAGTCAAGGTCTTCCCTGAAAAAGTCATTGTCTGGATGGCAGCAGATGTTGCTCCTAAACCTGAAGATATTGCTCAGCATCAAACAACAAGTTATTGGCTTCGACATGTGATCAGCTGAATTTGAGACATTTACAGATATAGAAAACCATCAAATCTGGATTTATAAACATTTTACTGAGCATACCAGCTCTTATGTGGCAGCATATAAAGTGAGGATAAAATCTGCATCAATACTAACCCCTGATAGACTCCTTAGTCTCCTATAGTGTTGCCTATAGACACAACATTTTCTCTCCAGCCAACATGCACAAACACAAACCCAGGTAACCGTAGTCACCTGGTATAAAGTTTAACAATGTGAAGATAAAAGAACATCAAGTTAAACATATACACCTCAATGTGATGGTCACTGAGACTAAATAAGTCCCTCTTCACAGTCACCCTCTCACCTTTGCAGGGTTATTCAACCTGTCTGAGTTTTAACTGACTCTCATGACTAAAACAGAAAAAATCTCACCAAGAAGAGAAAGAAGAAAAAGTTTGACAGCTTTACCAGATTTCATCCTGATGCACAAAGTTTAGAGGTTCGGATGTTCTCTGTGAATCAGCCATCTGTCCTGACCGCTCTGCCAGTGTGTGTGTGGCTTCTTGTTCTCTGCTCAGCTAATGTTTCACCTGTGTGTGAGTCACACTGACAGACTAGTTTACTGTTGCCAAGGAGATGGAGTTCCCTGACACATATATCACCTGTGTGTGTGTGTGTGTGTGTGTGTGTGTGTGTGTGTGTGTGTGTGTGTGCGTGCGTGCGTGCGTGCGTGCGTGCGTGCGTGTGACTGTGGTGACTCTGGGTTGGATCCTCTAAAGGGTAGCTAGGGGTCCGACAAACACAGCTCTGTGTTGCAGTGACTTTAGTTTGCAGTTGAGATAAATAACTGAGTAGTACCGAGTTTAATCCACTAATTTAAAATACAGATCAGTTTTATCAGATAGAAAACATATTATTTTTTTCAATTGATTTTATTTTTGATTTTTAATTTAATTCTATTTTTATGTTTTTTTATTTATTTCATTTTATTATTTATTATGTTGTTTATTTTTTATTATTTTATTTTATTATTATTTTTTTAGATAATTTGAAATGTATTTTTTATTTTTTTTAAATCAGAGTTTAAAACCAGTTTTCACCTCACTGAGAAAGTTCTTCACACTCAGGTCTCATATTGTGCCAACCTCCCCTCCTGATGCTCCAAGTCTACAGACCCAGGCATGATCACAGATGGCTCTAAAGTAGTCTGGGGTGCTGACAGTTAGATTCTAGGTGGAGGACACGCTCTGCTTTTGAGAGCACCTAAGGGAGCTTGACACGGCCTGAACACACCTGAGAGAACTGATTCAGAACACACGGTTTGTGTAAAATCAATTAAATTTTATAAAAAGGTGTAAATGCTTTTGAAATGTTTTAATCAGGAGCTCTTCTACTTAAAATGCTCATAAAAAGAGATTTATTTGAAGCTTCTGCTCTATTAGTTTTACAGCTGCAGCTCATGCGACAACTGCATTTTCTTTAAGAGACGCTGGGTGGTGCTGTGTTCAAAGATGTCCAGTGTTGATAGAAGGCTTACAGTATATCTATGCTCTTGTCTCTGATGGCTTTCAGATGGACAAAGATTGTTTTTGTGATCAATTCGAAAATAAATATAGCCTTTAAACATCACAAAAAGTGGATAAAACTACCTGCCCTTAAACACCAAGAGATAATAATTTATTTTAACAAACACTGCAGCAAAATATACAACAACAAATCCATCAAAGATGTTAAACTGTGTAAAAGGTTAAAATAAAATCAGTAAAAACAAACATTTAAGTAGAAATACTTCCTTGTATAAGTTATTGTCTGGATGGAAGCAGATGTTTGCTCCTAAACCTGTAGATATTGTTTAGCATTAAAGGGATATTCCGGTGTAAAATAAATTTAGGGTCAAACACACCTCAACAGAGAGTTAGATACCCCTTCGAGAGATGAATGTTGCAGACCGCTTGCTTCTCTAGTTATACCATCATTTCTTCATGGAAATGCAATCAAACTGAGACACCAAAGCAGAAGAACTAACCCGTCTGCAGTGCAAAATGGTGATTATTACTTCAAGGAAACGATGAAGAAATTATCATAAATGTTCTTCCTTGAGCTGCATCACCCAACAGCAGTTCGTTATGGACTGGCCTGAGGTCTTGCTTCAAACAAGCAGCTGCTGGAAGAGAGTAAGTCAGTTGTGTTTAGTCTCTTTGCTGAAGAAATTAGGCAAAGTTAAAAAGATGTTTGGTGGCTAGTGCTGTGGCTAGGACCCTATATGTACTGTTGATGAAGTTAGGTGCTGTTCTGAGCATTATTTGTGGCTATAGAGTGGCATTTTGGTTGAGATTTGTGTGTGTCTCCTCAGACCACTGTGTATTGCTATTGTGTGGTTGTTCCTGAAGTTGGTGTAACTAGAGAAGCAAGCGGTAGACAACATTCATCTCTCAGATGACATGGACTCTGATGATCCCCATACCATCAAGGATGCTGAATTTGGACTGGGAGTTAAGAACAAGCCAGATGGACCCTCTACTCGTTAGAGAGAAGTACGCAGAATCTATTATATACAGTTCTTTGTTGAAAGGACTACTGGACTGAGTTGACAAGTCAGTCCAGTTGTCCTTTCCATGCAGTGATTTTTTCTCCAGAGTCCTGTCTGTTATTAATGCCAGAGATACAAGATCGGGACCATCCAGTCTCTGTTTTGCTTTTTAATGAAACACTCTCTCTGGTCATAACTCAGAGCTTTTTATGGGTTAGGTGACTTAAACCTCTACAAATCCCAATGAGTGTTTTGAACCTTCCACATCACATCTGAGAGTGAGCTTTATTAAACTTTGATACTGTTATTCTCCTAAAAGCTTTTACACACCCTGACCAAACCCTGGTCACGCTTTAGTCATTTTTCAGCCCACAGAGTGACCACACCAGATCTTTATAGTCCCTTGATTTATCCCCTGTTTCTGGAGGATAAAGTGGATTTCAGCGTTCACATTTAACCGTGGTACTGCTGGGATCCTCTTACACAGATGACACACACTCACAGATTAATAAAACACATCACCAGTTAATCTGATGGTGCTGAGGAGGGAGTGGTGCTTCTTCGACCCCCTTCAGGCTGGTAAATATTAATGTGTCAGTCGTCCACCCCATCTTGCACATCTGCAGGTAAAATCCATTAGCAACCTGATCCAAGGAGAACAGCGTCTCTGAGGGAGAGTTCTGCAGTTATTACATCTTCATCACATTAAAGACTCATGTTCCTCCAGCTGTGACATTAATTAAGATCTCTTTTTGTTTCCTCATGTGGTCCTAATAAAGTAGCTTATTTTAATCCAGGATTAATGCCAAAGTAAAGATCTGAATATTGTCATTATCTCCTCCAAACTGAACCTTTATCTGTAACAGACTTTGACAGGCAGCGTTTCCTCTGTTTCTGCTGCTGTTTGAAAATATGATAAATACTGTAAAGGCCTATGACTCTAATGAACAGATCTTTAAGACAGTAACCGATTTTGTTCTTCATAATATGAGGTTACAGACAAAACAAGCTCCTATTTAAAGTCCAAAAAACTGCAGTTCCTCTCCTGTCTATGAGCAGCTGTGTCCTGAAGGGAGTCAGTCTCCATACAACCCCATGTTAAAACTTTACAGCAGAAATAAACATTTACAAAACAGTTGTTATTGTATATCAATTATTTATACTATATTTCCTATGTTCCATTATATATCACATTATAATATACAATACTACTGGATATAATTTAATACAGATATAACTGTAAAATATTATATTTATTAATAATGAGTTTTTTCTTTATATTATTTCATGTAAATCATTTATTATAGTTTTTCCTTATTTAGCTCATACTCTGACTCTGACTTCGTTTTGGTTCAATTACACTGCAAAAAAGTTAAACACAGCTCAGGGGTGTTACGTTTTACACAGCTCTGTTGTTCTAAAGTTCTGCCTTTACAAAAGAAGATCACCATTATCCTCATGTTAGCTCCTTCTTTAGCCACAGCTCTCCCCACCCCAATCTTTGTCTTTCCACTTGTTTACATGGAAGGACAGGGAGCTCTCAGAGTCATACTGTTAAACAGGGGTGAAAGTAAGCCGGAGTGGTACACCGTACCAGAAAGACATAAACAGCAGTTTACAGCAGGTACATAGCGGTACACAAACTTTCACCCCAGCAATGTGTGTAGGCTACATTTACTTAGTGTGTTGCCGCATGTCAGTCTGCACTCTTCATTGTAACTGTAGTAATCCAATAGGATCATGGTGTTTGCGAGTGAGTCGTATTTGCTTCCGCAAACAAACAAACTCTGGAACTGGGAGCGCTCAGGGTGCACTTTTGATTGGACGCTGGTTGCTTAGGCGCTAAGGATCACCTCCCACCTTTTGCGGAAGGAGGGAACTTTTGAAGAGACAGCTGCTTCAATCTTATTGCAGAAATAAAACAAAATGCAAAGAAAAGTTGATTTTATGTTCAAGAGAAAGAGAGATGCAGCAGATGATGTAACTGTGTTGAGTGAGGAGCAGAGGGGGGAAGCAGCAAAGCTACCAGGAGTGGGTAAGCTACTGACAAATGGCTGATAATGTTACTGTATCAGCATTGTTCTTGTTCAAATGATCTGTTAGTCAGCACCTGGTTAAACTTGGGCATGCTCCTCTTGTACAAAGCCTACGAGTACATGTTCCTGTAAGAACCTTATCCTACTTTCACCCCTGTTGTTAAAATATAATTACTGCATGAAATTAATCACTTTTTTAAAATAAAGATGACCATCTCTGAACCTGGATTAATCTTCTTCTTCATAACTGCCTCCCTGTCCTCTGAGTTATTGTCTTCTGCTACTTCATCAAGCTCGAGTTTACTTCCTGTATATGTAGGGTGTTACTGGGCCTGTCTAATATTAGATATTTGTACTAATGGGTTTGTTTTGGTGTGCTGCTTTTTCATTGTCAACTAACTGTATTTGAAGCTTCCAGAAGTCTGAACACATTTCAATGTTCCTGCAGGATGGACCGTTCATCCTAATGAATGAAAAACTCTGAGCTCAGGGTGAGAGTTAAAGTGGCAGGAAGACGCACTTACAAAATTAACAGGTCAGGACATAAAACACACCCAGAGAGGAGGAGAGGAGGAGGAGGAGATCCTGGCAGTGAGCTCACCTCCTCTCAGACAACCCAATGAGATTCATATCAGAGAGGAGCACTCCAGCAGATTAAATCACTGTGTGCGTGCGTGCGTGCGTGCGTGCGTCTCTTTCGAGTCTGTCATCTTTATGTGAACGTCTCCCTGAGGACTGTGCAGCATCTGTGAGGACAAGGAGACAAACTGAGACAGAGGACCCAGCGGCCTGTCCTCTGAGGGGACCCTGCAGCCGGTCCTCTGCATCTCTGATACATATATTCTGAGGTTTTCGGGTGGATGGTGTAAAAACTCTTCTTGATTTTCAGCTCTACTCTGAGAAGTTATGTTCAGCATCCGAATGACCCAGCACTTGGTACTTTGGTAGATTAATTGCTTCATTGCGTCCAGATGAACTTGAAGCACTTGTTGCTCTGACTGATCTAGTTTCCCCTTGTCTAGATCTTTGCTTGTGTTGTACGTCGCCTTGGATAAAAGGGTTTTTAATGACACTCCAACATTGTGAGGCCCCTAACTCTAAGAACCTATTGTCTGACCTCCTGATGAAGGTGTGATGCATTTCATTCTGTGTATGCTTGTACGCATGTGTCCTCATCAGCAAAGAGACTTCTCTTCTTGTTTTTGCTCTCTGTACAGACTGTGTTTCCTGCAGAGTCTGCTGACCCCTGATCAGTCAGACTACAAGCAGAGACCAGAAAACTGTGAGGGACCAGCTGATCCAGTCTTTGGATACCAGTCCAGTCCTGAAGAGAGCGGTTTGATTTTGTCCTGATAGTCCTGAGTGTTTTTCTGCAGCAGCTCAGGTTCGACCTGGACTCTGTCATTTAAATTATAACCATATAATATAAAGACACTGTTTCTTCCTCCTCCTCTTCCTCCTGCTGTCCGCCCTCATCTCTTAATGTTTCAGCCCCTCTCTCTGTCAGTTATCCCTCCTCAGTCGTAGTTTCCTCTCTCTCCATCTCCGCCCGTCTGCTCCGATCAGACTCTCCATCCTGTGGGAGGAAACCTGATTAGCAGCTTTCTGGCTCTAAATGCATGAGCTCACCTTTTCAGCATTAATCTGTGTTATTTGTCTGCTGCTGTTCATCAGTCACAGAGAGAATAATGAAACGTCTCACAGCACGGCATGCCGCTCCATTAATGTTCATTTATGGGGGGGGGGTCTCTGTCAAGACTAAATTATTCAGGGCGATCGAGATGCCCAGACAGAGAGAGAGAGAGACAGATAAAAATGTGGCTCATGAGTTCAGACACCAAGACAAACTGTTCTCTCATCAACAGGAAACACAGAGTTATAAATCAGATATGTCTGAACCAAACTCCATTACAAAAAAGCATTTTAAAGGATTACAGATTAAGATTCTCCTCATAACAGAGTCCTGCAGAAAAACCCAGATTAGAGAAAAAAGGGGGTTTGCATCAGTTAAACTTAAAAACTCTACTGAGGAAATTTAGCACTGATTTCTGATGCTTTTTTGAGGATCCTAAATCCTGGATGATCCTGAAATATGCGAACCAAACTTCAATGAAACTGTCAGCATTTTAAGAGTCTCCTCAGTTCTTCTTCAGACAGACCCAACAAATTATGACCTCATACTTTTTAGAAAACGTCATCATGATGAAAGTACTTCTGCACCGGCCTGTTACCTGATATCAGCTGTGTTTTATCTAAAGTGAGGCTGTTATTAAGGCTTTTGACAATTTACCTGCAGAGTTGACCATCAGGAATTATCAGATCTTCTCAATATGAGCCTGTGCTGTGGGTTTGGAGGTCTGTGAAGGATCTCTGCGACTCATCAGGCTCCTTTTTTAAGATTTACTTGGTATCAGGAAATCCTCCTCAGTGGTGTTATGAGTTTTCTAACCAAAGCTTTGCTCAGGCCCAGAACAGTCCAGACCTAAATCTGTTCCTCTTTTAGTGGAGCAGACAAATGCATAATATAGCCCGAATCGTTCACTTTGTTATACAAGCATGAAATTTGGTACATATACTCTTCAAACCTCACTCTTTTCAAAAATAACGTTAGCCACGCAAAATTCCAAGATGGCTGCCCAAAAATCCAAGATGTCCGCCCTAAAAATGTGTTTTTTCCTTTATAACTCAAAATGACTTGATTTTAAGCCCCATACATATATTGAAGTTGAATATAAAGTTGGGTATTGCGGACATTTTGGTACCTAGTACATTTCTGTATCCATTACGGTTCTTGAGATACAGCATATAGATACTTGTACAGAATTGGGAGAGTGAGAAATTTGTAACACCGATTGTTTTTACGTGCATATGGTTGCATGAAAATATAATTTCCATTATCTGTTATTTTCATGAGGGTTATAACATGAAATATGAAAAACAAGATGGTGTCCAAGATTGCTGCCATTGCCTTGAAGTAATCCGATCTTAGTGACTATGAAACATTAACTTTTGGCATGCACATATTTTTGGTCTATGCATCCAATGGGGCCATTGCAGTACAGAATTTGGATGTTTATACAGTACAAGCTTGCAGATGTAATAGAGTGAATATCAGCACACAACCAGGGCACACTGGTGATATCACTGCTGTGTAATTCAGCATAACCTCCGGGGTTCTTTCAGCATGAGAACCAGTCCTTCCCTGTTGCATTGAGCAAGGGTGGAAAATTATACACTTGCCAGAAGTCTCAGCTGACCCCTATCCTTGAGAATTATGTCCCACCAGTTGACAAGGAACCTGAGGCAGACGTTCTCATTGTAGATGGGTCAGCTTTGGACCACGCCCTGCCACCAAAATGATCCAAGACTTTTGAGGACTATGCAGCTCTCGACTTCCTACCTGTGATCTACATGTACTCCAGCAAGTACACAATGACACATCTGGTCTTTGATGTGTAAAACCCATCAAGCCTTAAAGCTGAGACCAGGTCCAAACGTGGCCAGGGGGGAAGACGCAAGGTAACAAATAAGAACACCATGCTATCTAACTGGCATAACTTCCTGAGGCACAATGACAACAAAACAGAGTTGTCCCACCCTTGCCGACAAGGTTGCACAAATGTTTGCCCTAAATACCATCATCGTCACAAAGGGACCTGCTGTCCTCAGTACTCATGCAACTGGTCTTGATGGACTGGATAAATGCTCTCACGAGGAAGCGGACAGCCGCATCTTTGTGCATGCCAAACATTAAACTGGGAGCCAATCCATCATGATCAAGGCAAATGACACAGATGTTCTGATCTTAGCTTTAAGTGTATTCAGCGGTCTCCAAGAGGCTGGCCTACAGCATATGTGGCTTGCATTTGGGCAAGGTCAGACTCTGCACTGGATCAGTGTGCATGACATATTTCAGCATGTTGGCCAGGAGAAGGTCAAAGGCATGCTCTTCTTCCATGCCTTTACAGAATGTGACACTGTGTCTGCCTTCCACAACAAAGGCAAGAAAATGGCTTGGCATACATGGGACATATGTCCAGAATCCTTGCCTGTATTCGCCAAACTGGGTATTTACCCTCCCACAGTGGAGGACTGCGACATAGAGGTGCTTGAGAAGTTTGTCATTCTCATGTATGACAGATCCAGCACAGCTGCTACTGTGGATGAGGCCAGGCTTGACTTGTTTACCAGAAAGCAGAGGCCCTATGGGCTCTATTTTGGTGCCTCGCCAGAGACGTGCCGCAAGCGCAGCGTCAGTCAGATCCGCCGCGCTGACAAGGCGTTCCCAAGCACATTTTGGTATTTTGGTGAGCCGCGCAGCCTGGCGTAAGTATCCCCCCTCCCTAACTCAGCTCCTCCCAGCACCATAAGTCGTAGACGGGGAGGAGAAAGGGCGTGTAGTGGGTTTAACACAGCCGAGACCTGTTTTCACCAATCACATAGGCTCCTCTCCTTGCCTTTAAATCCGCCACAGGCGAGGCGTATTACTATTTTCATGAAGTAGTCAAAGAGATCAAGAGATGTCTTAAGACAGTAATGCCACAAGATGGCGACAGAGGGCAGCTCCTCAACAAGTGTCCTCCACACTCTCTCATATGGGCATAGATGGATTTAGTGTGTGTAATGTTGGACCCACTGGTAAGACAAACACCCTTTTCCACAAATAAAGACACTCACATAAAGTTGCTCATATTCAAACCTCACGTGACAAAGGTGGGTTGAGCGCACAGATCACAACATAAACTCCAAAAATGGCATTAAAATCAGAACCATCTGTGCGTAAATGACGCATCGCGCTCCGTGGCCTGGCTCTTTCTTTCATAGATGTTGGCATATAAAATAAATTTGGCTCACAAAACTGAATATTATAATATCCGTATGTCGGCTTAAAGTAGAGAACGCATCTGAGCACTGAAACAAATCATCTGTTCAGCTGCAGCAGCAGCAAGACGGACAGAGGACACGGAGACGTGTCCAGGTCGAGCTGTGCGAGAAATAAGAGGAAGAGGAAGAAAGAAAAGGAGGGAGACGAATTACATATCTTGTTAACTTCATCATGTGTGTTTATTTACTAGATATTTAATTTAATTTGATGCGGTTTCAGCTGTGTTGATTCGGTCAGGTTGTGTGTCCAAACGCGTGCCAAATGCGCTCATCAGATAAGATATAGATCAGAATATATCGATATAGATCTAAATATATGTGTTGACTCAGATTAATAGTTGATGATGATTATTTATTGCACTGAAATGTGCCTGACACTGTGGAAACCTGCCGGTGAGGCATCAGTGACGTATGTCGATACGCCGCCGGTCTACCAAAATACTACTAGACCAGCTGCGCTCCGCCTTGCGCTGAAAGCTGACCAGGTTTGAATCGGCGAGCTTTCAGCGCACTTTACACGCCGTTGGCGAGCACGAAAATGACATTGCGCCTGCTGATTCTGTCGACACCTCCCCCTGCCACACCACCATGCCCAGCTTGGCGGATCTCGGCTCGCCTCCGTGCGGCTCATGCCACGAAAATACCAAATTGGCCTTACGCTGGGCTCCGCCAGACGAAAATACAACTGCGCGGGGCTCGCCGCCCTCTGCCGCCTCACCGGCGCGCACGAAAATAGAGCCCTATGAGTCTATCCCACCAACCAGAGCAGCTCTACTCCAACACACCAGGCGTGCTGCCTATCAGGCTGGTTGTGTGTGGGCCCAGGCAACCCAGTGTCAGCCAGAAGCAGAGGACCCTGCAGACTGGGGATGTCAAAAGGTTGGTGAGGAATGGCAGGTCTTCTGGACAGCCAACTCTCCAATAGCCAAGACATGCGAACAACTCACCAAATGTGGCTGTAAATCTGGCTGTTGAGGCAGGTGCAAGTGGTAAAAATTGGGTCTCATGTGTACAGCTCTGTGCAGTTGCAACTGTGAGGTGTAACTCACAGTAAGTATGCTGTATCTTACAAACTGTAATACACTGTGTGCACAATTATTAGGCAAGTGAGTATTTTGATCATATCATCATTTTTATGCATATTTTCCAACTCCAAGCTGTATAAACTTGAATGCTTATTGGATATAAGCATATCAGGTAATGTGTATTAGTGTAATGAGGGAGGCTGGGGCCTAAGGAGATCAAAACCCTATATCAAGGTGTGCATAATTATTAGGCAGCTTCTTTTCCTCAGGTAAAATGGGCCAAAAAAGAGATTTAAGTGACTCTGAAAAGTCAAAAAAATGTATAAAGTTTTTCAGAGGGATGCAGCACTCTTGAAATTGCTTAGATATTTGGGCGTGATCACAGAATCAGCAAACATTTTGATGCAAATAGTCAACAGGGTCGCAAGAAACGTGTTACGAAAAAAAAAAACGCAAATTAACTGCCAAAGATTTGAGAAGACTCAAACGTAAAGGTACCAGGAATCGCTTATCCTCCGGTGCTGTCGTATTCCAGAACTGCAACCTACCTGGAGTGCCCAGAGGTACAAGATGATCAGTGCTCAGAGACATGGCCAAAGTAAGGAAGGCTGAAATCTGACCACCACTGAACAAGACACACAAGTCGAAACGTCAAGACTGGGCCAAGAAATATCTGAAGAGAGATTTTTCAAAGGTTTTATGGACTGATGGGATGAGAGTGACTCTTGACGGACCAGATGGATGGGCCCGTGGCTGGATCAGTAATGGGTACAGAGCTCCACTTCGAATCAGACACCAGCAAGGTGGAGGCGGGGTACTGGTATGGGCTGGTATTATTAAAGATGAGCTAGCTGGACCTTTTGGGTTAAAGATGGACTTAAAATCAACTCCCAAATCCAATGCTAGTTTTGAGAAGACACTTTCTTCAAGCAGTGGTACAGGCAAAAGTCTGCATCTTTCAAGAAAACCATGATTTTTATGCAGGACAATGCTCCATTGCATGCAACAAAGTACTCCACTATGTGGCTCACCAGTAAAGGCCTTAAAAATGAAAGAATAATGACGTGGCCTCCTTCTTCACCTGACCTAAACCCTGTTGAGAACTTGTGAGCCCTTCTTAAACGGGAAATTTACAGTGAAGGAAGACAGTACACCTCTCTGAACAGTGTCTGGAAGGCTTTGGTTACTGCAACACAAAAAGTTGATCGTCAACAGATCAAGAAACTGAAAGACTCCATGAATGAAAAGCTTATGACTGTTAATGAAAAGAAGGGTGGCTATATTGGTCACAGATTTTTTTTTTTTTTTAAATTTCAACCATTTTTATTTGTAAATTGAGTTGTTTGTTTATCATCCTCACTTTAACAAGTGAAAATAAACAAGTGAAAATGAATTTTTCATTTTTAATTTAGTTGCATAATAATTCTGCACACTAATAGCTGCCCCCAATAATTGTGCACACATAGATATTCGCCTAAGGAAGTCAAAATCTCACTTTTACTCCCTTAAATATTAAGGTTTGAGGTTTATTAACATTTTGGATGTTAATAAATAAATAAATAAATTTAAACATTTAAATTTAAATCCACGTGGCCTCCCCCGCAAGTAGCCAGAGAGTAAGAGAGTAGTTGCCTTTTAAGCGAAACAAATGTCTTCGAAATGTCCAACAAATGTTCAACGCGTTTGGACACACAACCTGACCGAATCAACACAGCTGAAACCACATCAAATTAAATTAAATCTCTAGTAAGTAAACACACATGATGAAGTTAACAAGATATGTAATTCGTCTCCCTCCTTTTCTTTCTTCCTCTTCCTCTTATTTCTCGCACAGCTCGACCTGGACACGTCTCCGTGTCCTCTGTCCGTCTTGCTGCTGCTGCAGCTGAACAGATGATTTGTTTCAGTGCTCAGATGCGTGATCTACTTTAAGCCGACATACGGATATTATAATATTCAGTTTTGTGAGCCAAATTTATTTTATATGCCAACATCTATGAAAGAAAGAGCCAGGCCACGGAGCGCGATGCGTCATTTACGCACAGATGGTTCCGATTTTAATGCCATTTTTGGAGTTTATGTTGTGATCTGTGCGCTCAACCCACCTTTGTCACGTGAGGTTTTAATATGAGCAACTTTATTTGAGTGTCTTTATTTGTGGAAAAGGGTGTTTGTCTTACTAGTGGGTCCAACATTATACACACCAAATCCATCTGTGCTCATATGAGAGAGTGTGGAGGACACTTGTTGAGGAGCTGCCCTCTGTCGCCATCTTGTGGCATTACTGTCTTAAGACATCTCTTGATCTCTTTGACTACTTCATGAAAATAGTAATACGCCTCGCCTGTGGCGGATTTAAAGGCAAGGAGAGGAGCTTATGTGATTGGTGAAAACAGGTCTCGGCTGTGTTAAACCCACTACACGCCCTCTCCCCTCCCCGTCTACGACTTATGCTGCTGGGATGAGCTGAGTTAGGGAGGGGGGATACTTACGCCGGGCTGCGCGGCTCACCAAAATACCAAAATGTGCTTGGGAACGCCTTGTCAGCGCGGCGGATCTGACTGACGCTGCGCTTGCGGCACGTCTCCGGCGAGGCACCAAAATAGAGCCCTCGGTGTTACAAATTTCTCACTCTCCCAATTCTGTACAAGTATCTATATGCTGTATCTCAAGAACCGTAATGGATACAGAAATGTACTAGGTACGCAATACCCAACAGGGTTTTTCCTGCGTTCAAAATTGCGTGGCGGCCGCCTCCACCTAATTTTGTGCCGCCCCCAGCCAGAGTGATTGATTTCGCTCAACACAGCGTAAAGCTCCAGCTGTGTTGATTGAGCGATTGATGTCCCGATTCAGCAGCAACGTATTTTAACTGCAGTTGCAGGGTTGCGCCTCTATAGAGGCGCTATATCAACAGCAGTGCACCGGAAAGACCTGAAGCATCTACCGCAGAAGAAACGGATCGAATCATGTTTTTTCAAGTGTTTTTCCCGCTAGTTGGTGCTATCGGCGTCCTGATTTTCCCTGGCGGATGGTACAAACAGGTAAATACTGCTTCTCTTTTTTGCATCCAAGCATGTCGTGTTTATTACAAAAAAAAAAGTTTACTCCGTTTTTTTGCGTTTTAGATATGACAGGCAAAATCAGCCAGTACTTTAAAAAGCGACCTCGCGAGGAGGAAAGTCAAGAGTCCAGGTGAAACACAGCAGAGAAAAAACGTAACAGGCAGGTAAAATGCTATAATTCATGTTGGTGACAACGTGGAAATTTGTGTCAGGTCTGAAAGTACTTCACAAGGAACTGGTGATCGCGAGGGTCAGAATGCAGGGCAGGACGAGTCGGCGAGGCGAGGGTAATTAATTAATTAGTTTCCAATTAGGAGCATAACAACGCAAAGCCAACGTGTACATGGTTTTTATTTCTCTTTGTAGATCTTCTCAAAAACACAGAGCCAGTGGCTTTGACAAGCAATGGCTCAATCAATTTACCTGGCTCAGGCATACTGAGGAAGGCATGCACTGCTATTTATGCCAAAAGCACTGTGCCCCAACACAGCATGCAATTGCTGCCTCCTTAGTGAGACAGCCATCAACCAACTACAGGCTGGACACATTAAAAAGACATGAAGTGACAGCCATTCACAAAGCAGCAGAAGAGAAGGAGAAGTATATTAAAGATGGTAGTACCTAAAAAACTCAACTAATAAAGTTACAAAAAATAAATAACATAGTTTAGATAGTTTAAGAAATAATTGGTTGTCGTTTTTTTTTAGGGAGGACACTGCAGCGTATACATATATATGATTGAGAACACTATCACTCTTCATGTCTGTATCAGAATAAAAACAAAAATACTTAATGCATGATGAATTGTTTTGATTAAGGTGAAGACACCTCTGTGGAACAGACTGAAGGAGAGGCACTTGGATGTCTGTTGTAAGGTGGCCGTTGATGGACCAGACCAGGAGGCCTTGGACTACAAGGAGTGCATCAGGAGGTTCTACAGAATGAAAAAGAGGAGGCTGAAATGTTCTGTCTGGTTGCGAGATGTGTGGATGAAGTGTACTTTCAATTTAAAGTTGCCAGCTGATTTGTGTATGTATATAGTTTTAATAAATTAATGCTTTAACATAATAATGGTCACACTCTTTTTTGAACTCTTAACTTAAAGTATGTTGCCTGTAAAAGAAAGTGAATCGGTTGTATTTACAAATACATGCACGTCGTGGCGCATGGTCAGGATGGTGCCACCTCTGCCTCAATTTGAGCCAGGAAAAACCCTGCCCAACTTTGTATTCAACTTCAATATATGTATGGGGCTTAAAATCAAGTCTTTTTGAGTTAAAAAGGAAAAACCACATTTTGGGGAGGACATCTTGGATTTTGAGGCCGCCATCTTGGAATTTTGCGTGGCTAACGTTATTTTTGAAAGGAGTGGGGTTTGAAGAGTATATGTACCAAATTTCATGCTTGTATAACAAAGTGAACGATTATTTCCTTATCTGCTCAGCTATTTCTCTCTAAAAACATTTGACACTGTGTGGACTCGATGAGATGAGGAGGACCAGTTGACAGGTGGTCTGTTTGGGTTTTTTTGTTCTAACATGCAGGAGGTCAGACTTGTTTTATCATCCTCACACACTAGAGGAGGTCAGGTGTTTCCACTCTGTCCCCCCTGTGTGTAAATGTTTATGAGGACAGTGAGGTGAGAACATCCAGACCTCTGAGTCCTCAGAGTAAAAACCTCTCCATCTCTCTGTCAGCTTCATCCTCCTGCAGCCTCCTCATTTAACCTCAGCAGCCTCTGCTGAGCCGCTAAGCATCATAGGACATATTAACACCTTATTTTGGGCTGCAGGTTTCTCTCTGTGTCATCCATCATCTTTCTCCTCTCATCCATCTCTCTGTCAGCCCCTCCATTTCTGTCTCTGTCCAGTCTGGACCAGCAGAGATTAACCCAACAGAAATCACTCATTTCAGGCTCCAGAGTCGCTGCTGTCGGTGCTCGATGCTTTTGCAGCTTCATCCTGAAGCACCTGACCAGCCTCCCAGGTGGACCTGACACAAGGCCTCCTGGACACTGATGATGATCTCTCTTTCCCAGATTCTGGTGCATGTTTACAGCTTCACAGCGTTGTGTGCAAAAACTGAATGTCCAAAATGGAACAATCAGTTTATAGACCTGCAGAATCAGTATCAGGACCAGCTTGCAGAGCTCTGGGATGTGAAACCTCAGATTGCTGAATCTCCACGCTCTACTCCTCCAGTCTCTGTTTGCATCTTTATATCAATAGTTCATTGTGAGTTACTGAGCTGCAGGCTGGATAACTTGGTGAAGACTGGATGTAGTGCTAGAGTATTCCTGCTGCAGGAACATGATAAGTAGACAGGTCTCAAGTGTGCAGGTAGAGTTTTTGTAGACACACAAACAAAGGAGGGAAAATAACTGTAACACATACACTGGAGGACTAAAACTAAATGACCGATTTAGCTGAATACAAAAAAACCCTCCTCTTTTAGCTCCTGATAATGAAACCACAGAAGGTTCCCATTTCTCCTGTCCCTCCACTTTTTTAAATGCATATTTAAAAATCTTCAAATATTTCTGAAATCTTCCTGCAGAGCTCAGACAAAAGGGGCCTCTCCCATCAACTGTACATGAATAATTTACCCATAATTCATCAGGAACATGTGTGTGCAGTGTGCACCTGTCTGCTGCTTTAGGGAACACGAGTCAGCACAGAGACGTGACGTCCCACTGCGGACGAAACTGAGCTAATGTGCTGCTGCTGTCATTGTGGGACACTGCATTAAACCCCCCCCCCAATACACACACACACACACACACACACACACACACACACACACACACACACACACACACACACACACACACACACACACACACACACACAGTAAATGTGTATTGAGCAGCAGATGCCAGAGGAGGTTACTTAGCTCGATTACTAAGAGGACACACTCCCTTATCCACACACGCATTAAAACCTCACCCCTCCTCAAATCACACACATACACACAGTGTGTGTGTGTGTGTGTGTGTGTGTGTGTGTGTGTGTGTGTGTGTCAGTGAACAATAGCCGTGATTTTAACTAAACTCCAAGAATCAGCTGACACTAACAGCATCAGTCTCGTGTGTTTTTGTGATTATCATTGTAAACATTAATCATATTATAGGATCTGAAGAGTGGTGAGTCTAAAACAAACAGGTCTAAGTGGGTGAGACATTAAGTGTCCTCTGTGGACCCTGGGGGCCCCTGAGGCCCTTCATTGAGTCTGATAAATAAGTCAACAAAGTTAAATAATTCAGGTTTCCCGCAGAAACACGACTGTAAAATAAAGGGTTATCTTATAGAGAGGCGGTGAAATCTGGCAGTTAAAGGTGAACTTCTGTAAATTTAAATCAAACTTGTTTAATTTAAAACTGCAAAGAGGAAAAATAAGCACAAAGAGATCATAAAACCAGTGCAAAGAACAAACTGTGACATTTACAGACTTAATGTTTTATATCTGAGGAGAGAGTAGAACCAACACGTATTTAATCCCTCATTTTCTGTTATTAATATATAAAATATTCAGTCAGTTTATCAGTTTACCTGTTTAAAAACAAATGAAAACCTTTTATTTTCAGTATGTAAATAGTTTCTGTGTCTTTATTCTTTATTTAAAGTCTCTGTTAATGCTCCACTCAGTTTTCGCTGGTTTGACCTGCAGACTAAAATCATCTTTTCTCAGATTACTTATTTCATCATCAGATAACTTATTTCTTTAAGTTCAGCTTTTTCTGTCAAACTTAAATCTGATGATGGATTTTGTTCAATCTTAATTTAATAATCGGTTGAGTAGGAGGGATTAGTGGAGTTTTTTTAACAGTAACAAGGCAGAATATTATAGATCCGAGTGGGTCACAAACCTGAATCAGACTCTTGACTCTTACTTTACACTGACGCTCTGATGGTGTGAGAATTTATTCTTAGAGATAATTAAAGTTTTTATTTACTCTGTGAGAATAAAATTACAGTAATGCATGTCTCTAACTTATACTGTGTAATTCCCTGCAATTTCTGAAACACTCTGAAGTAATGACTGAATTTCCCTGGGGAATAAATAAAATATTCTGATGATCAAATTCTGTAGAAATAATAAAAGTCCCCCCCCGCCTTTTCTCCTCCCTCCTTCCTCCCCCGAGTGCCGCCTGGCAAGCAGCGTCTTGCCTCGCTAAGCAGCCCAAACAGCAGGTCCCGTGGGGGGTCCTCTCAGAGTCCTGTCCCTCTGTCTGATGGGCTGGGACAGAGGGAGGGGGGTTAAAACAAGACCATGTTTTATTAATGGGGGGCTGGGGGGGCTTTCAGGGGTCTTTATGAATCATTCACATGCATAGTGTCATGGCTGAATCTGTCACTTTGAGTTTAACCCCCACAGAGGTTTTGGTTTTTACGAGGACCGTCACAGGTTCGAGTTTCTGGGATTTCTGAGTCTGAAAAACTGTTCACTGAAGGGGGGACTGAAAAACCAGATTAGCTGGAAGTCAGGCTGAATCTGCTGAAAGCCTCCGTCCGTCTCTCTGGATGGAAAATAACATTTCTGTGTTTTGTTGTCAGACCGTAAAAGGGGGACTTTCAAATCTAGTTTGAAGGTCCAGATCTTATTAGGGCTCATTTCAGATCACCTTCAAATGTCACTTTAACCTTTTCCCCCTCCAGTATTAAAAACCTCTAAAACTGATGAGGTTAGAGTTCAGTATGATACAATAATGGGAGACGATCTCATTCAGTATGCTACAACATAAGAACCAAACAGCACAATTATGAGCAAAACTATTGAAATACACAGATAAATAAAATTATTTTAAATTCTACAATGAGAAAAAAAACTTACAGATACTTTCATGATGTGATCAAACACAAGATTAAACATTAAAATATTTTATGATGTGTTCATCTGCTTCATGTTGTCATCTATCACTGTTTTGCTGGGTTCTCTCTGAGCTGATGAAATATTCGACATCTGTTCCTAGAGGACACAAAGACCAGTCAGGTCCAAACAGACAGGTCTTCAGAGTCCTGAACGACAAAAAGTAATCCAGCGCACAGTTTGCTCAGAGAGTCGATCCTGTTTCTGTCTAAAGGTTGGTTTGCCGTAGTGATCTCCAGATTATTCCTCCTAAATAAAAACTGATGGAGATCAAAGGAACTGTGGCAGAGACAGTGGTTGGTTCAGAGACAAGAGGGGTCAGAGTGCTCACAGGCTAAACTGGTTAGGAGCTGTCACTGTGTCAATGAGAGGATGGATGCAGACGTACCTGACAGCAGACAGGTGATGGATCCTCTGCTTTAGTTCCTAATAAAGATGGACTTCATTGACTTTAAAAACCCAGAGGGACTCCAGGACCAGTCTAGGAGATCATGGACTCAGAGTCCATCCCCCAGGGAGAGTATTTAAGAGCCCCTGAGTAAAATGAAAAGTCTTATTCTATCAGAAAAAATTGGAAGCAGCAATATCCCTGAACTGTGCACTGATTTATGATTTTATGTTCATTTTCTGTGACTATCATCTATAAAAACTTCAATAAAAAGTTAAAACTGCATTTCATCATCTCATTGTGTGTTTGAAAAAGTCAAAGAAAACGTTTTTAAAAGCAGGAGAAAAACAGGACAAAAAGTTCCTGAAAACAGGAGTAAAAGTTTCTAAAATACAGTAATAAAAGTTCTTACAAAAACAGGGAAAAAAGTCCCCGAAAACCGGAGTAAAAGTTCCTAAAAACAGGAATAAAAAGTGAGTCATGTTGGGGGATGACAAAACTAGTTTTTGCTCTGATAGATCTGTTTCTGTACCTCCATCCATCAGAAAGGGTCCACTCTGACTGATCAATCCCCCCCCCCCCCCAAATGGTCTATTCAGATAATAGGTTTAATGGAGCCGCTCCCCTGAGGCCCTCCTCTGAGAGACCAGATGAGGGGGGAGGAGGTTCGATGTTGTTCATTTGTTGGTTTTTGACAGAAACTTTGTCATAATTTTTAAAGTTTATCTGGCAGACGGATACACACC